ATGCGGATAGTCCTTGTATATACCTCTTCTGACCAGTTCATATCCGCAATGCACCGCCATTCCTGGTACTCATTCGCTTCCTTTATTTGTTGCACCATATTCTCGTCTGTATTTTGGATTGCCACCCCTGATCTATTTTCGTCTAAGAGAGGTCTCCCACGTTCTAGTTTTATCTTTGTAACTTCTTCTTCTAAGGCCTTGACTTTCTGCTCCAACCTTTTATAACTCTCCTCCTTTTCTCTCATCTCATCCGCTTGCGCTCTTTGGAGTGTTATTACCAAGGGTTTTAGTTCTCTAATAGCAGTTTTCATCGGGACAGAAGTATTTTGTTGTATTAGCTCGGCAAGTTTTTCTACTTTTTTCGCCAACTCCGGTATAATCTCTTTTGACCCCCCCTTCTTAGGTTCCCATAGTCTTACTCCCATCCTCCGTTTATCAATTTCTTCCTTTGTTCTTTTAAATTCTATTTCGGGTGATTCCTCCTGTTTCCTCTTTCCTTCACCTTCCTCCCTTGTCGCAGCTCGACGCTGCTTATTCTCATTCTGTTTGATCAAATCTTTTACTTTAGCCGGTATTTCTAATGATCTCGACCGCCCATGGTCTGGAGGAGTTCTCGCTAACTTACTTTTCCTACTAAACACCTGGTCTTTAAATGATACCGCACCAAACTGCACCATCTCATCACTGCCAGCCCTCTCTATCCCTGTTTCTATGTCCTCTGAAATCTTTATTGTGTCTTCGCTTCTTTTACTCGCCAACCTATCTTTTGACCCGCGCATCGTATGGTGCTGTCTCTTTTCTGTATTTCTTTTGCTTGTGGCTCCTTGAGGACCTGACTTTTCTGCCTTACTCTCATCTTCCGATGATGATCGGCTTGACGCCGACTTTCCTTGATGAGCCGTTTTAGTTGGTGACCGGCCCGTTGGAGAATTACGCCTTGGGACGTAGCCCTCAAAGCTCTGGCTAGCAGAGTCCTGTGAAATTTCCTGCCGTTGTACAGGTCTACCAGTCGCCGGGAGGTCGACCTTACCCTCCTCCCGGTATTTTTCCGAGGCTACATCTTTCCCTTTCATCAACCATATTTGGAGCTGTCTGGCGCCTACCTTACGCCCCGTTTTTCACCTACCGGCAGGTACACACTTACTCGAACTTCACAAAGACATTACCCTTGACATTTAAACACTGAACACTTAATCCCGTGCCCCCTGTATCCCCGGACAGGGGCATTTCCTGGGTTATTGCCGCCCGGGACCACGCGACCCCAGCTTTTTTAAGGAGGTATGCTCCTCCACCTGTAAACCCAGGCGGGTGCCCTTGTGGGGTGCTACCGGCCGGGCTAGCCGGACCCCAGTTTTTTAACGAGGTATGCTCCTCGAGCTCAGGCGGCCTCGGGTTCGCTAAGCCCGTACCCAGTGACTCCTCACTGGGCCCCTGAGGGGAACCCAACCCAACCCAACCCAACCCAACCCAACCCAACCCAATTTCATAGTGTGAGGATGGAACGAAATTTATTAACAGTTCTTTTCTGATCTTTAGTTGGGAGGTGGATCACCAACATTTCGTTAAATTGTTACAGAGTTTAGAACATGATTTTCTTCATCACCTGAGCCAAGCATGTCAAAAATTTCTTAACAGTATTTCCACCAAACATTCTAAGTTTTTGAAGAACTTTTGAAGAAGTTGTGGATTTATTTTCCAGAAAACGAGAGGGGAGTTTTTTATTTAATATCTCNTGCCTTTTATTTATAGAGGGGATTAGGAAATCTGCTACCAGACACCCGGCCTAAGTTCTCATGCGGCCGGATAGTGACGGGTTGGAAGCAATTCCGACCGTCTAAAACCCTTCCCCCTCTCTTCCCGGCACCGCCCATCAGGGCATTTCATCGGGGAAAAACAAACCCTTCTCCATCACTCCTTGTGAATGACCATGACTTTTCCGTCTCGGCTTCTTACGGAAGGAGGAGGCAGCACTCCGCCGATCTTCTAACCTCTTCTTACCATCTACCTGCCAACACTATCCTCTACTACTACTTGTTCCAACTATGTAGGTGACTATGACCTTCCCATCTCGGCATCCTTCAGGTGGAGGAGGTGTCACTCCATTGCGTCAGTTGTCGGATCCGAAAACGATACAATACATTCCCCTTACTTTTTGAAAAACAACTACGTTACAACGTACCTGAGTGTGGGGGGGATTGTTTCCCCCCCCAGCCATTTTTTTTCCTTCTTCAGCTCGGTGACCATTTTATCTCTCTCTCCGCAGCCCCTACTTGCCTCGATCGCACACTTCACCACGGGTTTCACATGGAGAGGCGTTTTATGGAGGAAACGACATAACATTACTTTTTATTCAGTTTGCTATTACATCATACGTACCTGGAAGAGGAGGGGAAGCATCCCCTCCTCTCCCATAACCTCCCGGCGACAGCTCCCACTCCGTCGTCTCCTTCTCCTTCATTATAGTTCTGCACATGTTCGCAATCGCCTCCCATCCCTCTTCACTCTTCAGCATCACCGTCTCCATGTTGGATACACTAATTTTCTGGCCACACTTCTTTTCACACACCCCTCTTGCCCTCTCAAACTGGCGACACGAAAACAGAGTGTGCCACGCCGTGTCGCTCTCCCCGCAGAACCAGCACTCGTCATTATCCGCTTTTCCGATCTTATACAGGTATGAGCCAAAGACGCCGTGACCCGTCAGCGCCTGTGCCAGGTAAAAATCTATTTCTCCCCATTTTCTTTCTCTCCACGATGCTATATCAGATATTAACACTCTAGTCCACCCTTCGTAGCCTTTCCATCTCTCCTGCCACATCTCCACCGTTCTCTCTTTGAGCTCGTTTGCCACATCTTTCCCCCTTTCGTATAAGAGACTTCTCTCTTCCACCAACAAATCAAGAGGTGGCATACCAGCAACAACCTCAGCAGCCTCCCCCGATACCGTTCGATAAGCAGCCATAACCCCTATCGCCAGCCTTCTATTCGCCGCTCGCAGCATACCTGCGTATTTTTTGTACAGTATGGCTTTCTTCCAAATCGGTGCCGCATACAGTATCACTGACACCGCCGCCGAGGCAATCACCTTCCTTTTACTCGCCATCGGTCCACCAACATTCGGCATTAATCTCCTCAAGAGGTTTGTCATGTAAGTCACTTTTATCATCGTTTCCCTTACGTGCTTCGTCATTCTCATGTCCTTATCAAAGTGGACCCCCAGATATTTAGCACTTGGTACGGTTTCGATAGTACTCCCATTTATCAACAAGGATAACTCTACAATCTTCCTCCTACCTTGTAGAAGGACCATCTCCGTCTTAGACTCCGCCACAGTCAGCCCCATATCACTCAGCTTTCGAATCACCCTATTCGCGGCATAGGTAGCCCGGTCTTCCAGTTGTCTTCTATCTCTTGCCTTCACCACCAGCGCCAGATCATCTGCGTACGCCAGCATCTGCACGCCCCTCTCCATCTTCACTCTCAGAACCGCATCATAGAACAGATTCCAGAGTGTAGGGCCCAAAATGGATCCCTGTGGGACCCCGCTTGTGACTGGAAATCTTTTGCCGTTCGGACTCACCACGAATCTGTCTGACAAGTACGATTTGACTAAATCGACCAGGTAACGACTTACACCACCCTCTTCTAGGGCCTTTACAATTCCCTTCCAGGGCGCTGAATTAAATGCATTCTGCACGTCCAGCAGAATCATTACGCAGTATTCCTGGTTATTCAATGCCTTCCTTTTAATTTCCTCTATAATAGTCTGTACCCTCTGCATGGCTTGGATCGTGGACCTTCCCTTTCTAAAACCATATTGATCTTCATGCAATAAATTCTTTTCCTCAATCTCCAGATGTAATCTTTCTCTTATTATTATCTCAAACAGTTTTCCCATGGTATTACACATGCAAATCGGTCTGTATGTCGGTCCTTCTGTTGCATTCTTNCGATCTGGTATGCTGTACCCCAAATGTTTCCTTCCAGCTCTTCGCACAATTCCTTCCACTTTAACTCCTTACTCCTCTTTATCACTATCTTCAACGTTTTCTTAACTTCTTTGTATTCATCGTTTAGCGTCTTTTCTAAATCCGGTGTTGTTTGTTTTTTTCTAGCTCTCTGGAGCCGCCTTCTTTTCTGCACGCATTTCTTTCTTGTTTCGGCTATTTCCGTATTCCACCAGTATGCGTTTCTCTTGTTCGAGGTCTTTCTCTTTTCTAACGTCTTATTACACGCGTTCATAATCGATGTCATTAATTCCTTTGCCTCTGGACTTTTAATCTTTGTTGCCTCTTTTTTAAATTGTTCTTCTAATAGAACAAGTTTCTCTGGTGTAGTTTTCCATCTTGTCTTAGTCTCCAGTTCTTTTTTCTCTGTTCTTTCTTGATTCTGGAAGGTGTAACATACTAGATTGTGGTCACTCAATATTTCCACTTCCGTTTCCACTCGCCAGTCTTTTATTTTTCTCACTAGCTTTTGACCTACTAAGGTCAGATCTATTACTGACCTTCCTCTTTGACACACGTAGGTTGGCTGGTTTCCCGTATTTGCCACGGTCAGCCTGTTCTTTAATATCCATTCTTCCAGTAATTTGCCTCTTTCGTTTAAGACAAGGTCTCCTGCCGTATGCGTTCTCGCATTAAAGTCACCTCCTATTATCGTTGACCTTAGACTTTTTCCTCTCGTAAATGCTCCTTCGATATTATCCAGCAGTTCCACGAATTCTTCCTTTGGTCGGTTCGGCGAGAAATAGACTGATATCGCAGTATACTGTTCTAGCTCGACGGCTATATATCCCTTCCCTCTATACCAACTGATTGGTCTCCCTGCCTCCTTTCTAAAAATCTGTATAAAACAGTCTCCGTTAATGTCGACTTGCAATCTTTCAGCTCTTCTTTTGTTCGGCTCTTGTCCTAGCACCATCGTAACGTTTTTGTTTTTTACTTCCTGCTCTAAAAGGTCGTGATATTCCCATCTTCTGTTGCAATTTAGTTGAAATATTATTTGAGCCATTTTTTGATATTTGGTTTATCCTCAGCCACTACTCCCCTCACTTCTGCTTCACCCCTGTTCTCTCTATTCTGTTTATTCCTCTTTTTCTTTCCCTCTCCACTCCTCTCTCTCTTACTCCTCTCTTGTGTAATCCACTGTACCTCAGCTTTTTGTCCTATTTCCACTTCCATATCTTCCTCATTCGTTGTTGCACTTTGTTCTCCCTTCTCTCTTTCTCTGGTGTTTTCCATCTCTTCTCCTCCGATTTTCGAACTTTCTTTCCTATTACTCCTTTCCTGCTTATCTTCCTTTATTTGTGCTCTATACATCTCGCACCTCATGCTAGCCGCTCTGTGCCCTTCTTTTTCACAGTCCGGGCATCTTGTTGGGTTTTTGCACTCCTTTGTCTGGTGCCCTTCTGTTCCACAGTTGTAGCAGCAGTTTCTTCTGTCGGGTCCTACACAGTCCCTAATTAAATGTTTCGGCGACCAACATTTTAAACATCTTTTAATTCTTGTTCTTTCTTCTATGGAACACATTGATAGTCCTATTCTTATTCTTCCTGTTCTAATCAATTTCCTTGCCCCTCTCTCAGTCATCTCTACCGTTACTGCCATCATACTCTCCGCGTATGGTCTCAGAGAGCTCATTTTTATTTCACTACTTTCGGTACTTGTCTCTCTAATGATCGCTTCTTCTATCTCCTCCTTCTCCGTTGTTAACATTAATCCTTTTATGTGGATCGTCTTAGTCGTTTTTCCCTCCCCGACTCCTCTTTCCGTTACCTTTTGTCCCTTCTCGTCCCCCAGCGCTTTCTGTATATCCATTACTGCTTCCTTGTCTTTTTGCGTTGTGATTAGAACTTTTCCATCCCGTGTACTTCTTATCTCCTCTATTTTATCTATTCCCTTTTTACCCTCGAGCTGTTGCTTAATTCCTCTCACCGTCTCTTCATAAGTTTTCCCCGGTCTTTCTACTATTATTGCGTATGTCTTTCTTTCATTTTGTGTCTTTTCCTCATTTTTTTCTTCTATTTTTGCTCGCGTTGTATACAATTCCATTTCTATATCTGTTCCTTTAAACACTATCTCCAACATCTTTCTGAATTTGCTCAGGGTCATCTGTCTGATGTGATGTATCGCGATCTTCTTCTCCTTTTTATTCCTTTCCTTTAATTCGCTCATCGCTTTCCATACTGATAGGTCTGTTTTCTCTACCGTTAGCTTTATGACTTTTTCATTTCTTTCTATTTCTTTTCCTCTTATCTTCGTCTTTGTTGTCCGCTCTATTTCTTCGTATTTTTCATTTAGTTCTTCCAAACCCGGATATGCCATTTTAAATTGGCTTTGTATGCTTCGAGTCATATTTTCGTCTTCAGGCTCCACGACCACTACTCTAGTCGTAACTTGTTGCTGCCACAATGGATTTCCTTCTTTTACTGCCGTTCTGTTGTAGTATCTTCTCTTCCATTTCTTATTTACTAGCCTTTTCCACTCTTCGTATGTAACGGCTCTATTTATCTCTTGTTCTTCTATCATTTCCTGTGACCTTTCTCTTATCTCTTCCTCTGTTTCTGTCTGTGTGCTCATTTCTTTCACTTCCTTTCTCTTGCATTTCACCCTCCCTTCTCCCATTTCTTGTATCCATTGTTTTGTGTCCTTTCTGTTAAATATGTCCGCTTGTCTTTCTAGCATCTGTACAGCTTTCTTGATCTCCCTCTTTGTATTCTGCTCTTCGTTCTGTTTCAATATCTTGATCATTTTCATAATATTTTCTATTCCTTTCTTAACAGTCTTTGCCTGTTCGTTGTATGATTCTTCTCTTTCCAGTTCCTCTTCCTCTGAATCTACTCTTCTTCTTTTCATAGTACCACTGTCAATAGACCAGGACCTTATTCTTTGTGGTGTGTCTCTCTCTAAGTCTATTACTTCCGTGCACAGCCGAACATGCTCTTTTTTTTCTCCTGCCTTACTCTCCTCACTCTTCTCTATTATTGTTTTGTCTAGCTCTTCTTCTGACTCATCTTCCCCATTCGAAGTATCTGTACTACTCTTCGATTGACTCTCTACTCTTGGGGGTGTACGTGCCGTCTTCATACTTCTGCCCATTACTCTTTCCTCCATCTCTCTCTCGATTACTTCGTAACTCACGTTATGTTGCTTCGGTCGTCTTTCAGGTCTGTCCGTCGCCGGGGGGTCGACCTTACCCTCCTCCCGGTCCTTTTCCGAGGCTAATTTCTTATTGTCCATTAACCATATTTGGAGCTGTCTGGCGCCTACCTTACGCCCCGTTTTTCACCTACCGGCAGGTACACACTTACTCGAAACTTCACAAAGACATTACCCTTGACATTTAAACACTGAAACACTTAATCCCGTGCCCCCTGTATCCCCGGACAGGGGCATTTCCTGGGTTATTGCCGCCCGGGACCACGCGACCCCAGCTTTTTTAAGGAGGTATGCTCCTCCACCTGTAAACCCAGGCGGGTGCCCTTGTGGGGTGCTACCGGCCGGGCCAGCCNCAACCCAACCCAACCCTTTTTTTTTTTTTATTATAGAGGGGATTAGGAAATCTGTTAACAGACACCCGGCCTAAGTTGTCATGCGGCCGGATAGTGTCGGGTTGGCTTCCCTCTTGGGTTGCCGACCGACTAAAACCCTTCCCCCTCTCTTCCCGGAATCCGCCCATCGGGGCATTTCTTCGGGGTTACCTTCCGTCTCTCGTACTTATTACTGTCGCTGGATCCTCTTCTCTTCTTCCTCCTTCCTCCTCATAATGTTTCTAAGGAATTCCATTATCACTTCGACTTTCTCCCTCTCGCCGACCAGGAGGTCAGCGACGGTCCGCTCTTCGATCTTTCGGCCCACCTTGATCTCCACCTCTCTCCTCTCCCTTTCGAAACTGACACACTCAAATATAGTGTGCTGGGGGGAATCTCTTACCTGGCATCCGAACCAACACAGGTCCGACTGCATCTTCTTGATCTTTGTGAGGTAAGTCGCGAACACTCCGTGACCTGTGATCGCCTGTGTCGTGTGATAGTCCGTACACGGACCTCTCTTCTGCCAGCACCTTACGTCCCTTATGAAGGTTTTAGCCCATCCCGTGTATCCATCCCATCTCTCCTGCCATCTCGCATATAGGATCTCCCTATTACGTTGTTTGTCCTTTCCCTTACTCTTCCAGTTCTCGCTGCGCTCCCGCGCCATCAGGTCTAAGGGCGGACATCCGGCGAGCGCTCCGACCGCCTCCGTTGCTACTGTGCGGTACGCCGACGTGATGGCAATCGCGTATTTGCGCTCGATCGCACGTAGGATACCCTCGTACTTTGTATACCTCAAGGCGCCTTCCCATGAAGCAGCCGCGTACAGTACCACCGAACTTATTGTTGTAGCAAGGATCTTTCTCTTCTTCTGCGATGGACCCCCTATTCTTGGCATAAGCCTCGACAGGACATTTTGAATTCTCGCCGCCTTCTCGGAAACCGCATTAATGTGCGCGGTCATCCTGAGGTCTTTGTCCAAGGTCACGCCAAGATACCTCACGGACCGTACACTGGAAATCATCTTCCCGCCCACTCTTATCTCGATGTTTTTAAACTTTCTTCGGCCTTCGAGAATTATGACCTGCGTCTTCGATTCCTCCACCATGAGGCCCATGGTTACCAAGCACTCTGCCACTCTGCGTATTGCGTATTCCGCCTTGTCTCTGACTGCTTCCTGCGTCCTACCCTCCACTATCAACGCTAAGTCGTCCGCGTACCCTATCACGGTAACTCCCTGCTCCTGTCGCAAAGTGAGAATTCTGTTATAGTACAGGTTCCATAGCGTGCCACCCACTACGGAACCCTGCGGCACTCCGCAGCTCATCTGCCGTCTCTCTCCGTTCGGTAGGATAATTTTTCTCTGCGAGAGGTACGTGTTCAGCAGGCTTCTTATGGGGGTAGTTATGTTCGCCTCCCTCAAGGCTGTCTTCACCTCCTTCCAGGGGACGGAGTTAAAGGCATTCTTGATGTCTATCAATATCATCACACTGAACCCTCTATTCGTGGTAGACACCTTCCGCCTCTCTCGTACTTGTTCAATCACAGACATGATCGCGTCCACGGTTCCTCTCCCCTTCCTATACGCTAATTGACGGTCACTTATCGCTCCCTTTACTTCGAGCTGTTCGGTGAGCCTCTTATTTATTAATCTCTCAAGCATCTTTCCTACTACGCTCAAAAGACATAGTGGTCGGTAGGTCTGTTCTTGACCGGCTTTTATCGGTTTCTCCAGGAGCAATAGCTTCGCTTCTTTCCATATATCCGGGAAACATCCCGCCTCTAAACAGGCATTAAACACTTTCAGGAAGGAATCCGGGTCCGCCTCGGCACACGACTTTAGGACTTCATTAACTATCTTGTCTTCGCCAGGAGCCTTTTTCGATTTCAATTGCTTGAGTAAGGACAACATCTCCTCCATACTGAACGGCTCGTCGTTTTCCTCGATCGGTAATGGCAGTTCAACCCTGTCTATTTCCTCTGTTATTGTTGGGAATAGTTTTTCGTATTGGTTTCTTACGGTTTCATCGTCGAGTTGACCGGTGCCTCGGGTACCCAGTCTCTTGGTTAGCACCTGATACGCTGTACCCCAGACGTCCTCTTCGAGTTCCATACAAAGATCTTTCCATTTCCGCTCCTTCGATCTCTTAATCATGGTCTTCAGATTCTTCTTCGCCCTCCCATATTCGTCTCTGGCCTGGTCGTTCACGCCCGTTCCTCTCCTGTTTCCTCTCTGCATCCTTCTACGTTTCTTGATGCACTCCCTTCTTTTTTCCGCGATCTCCCGCGTCCACCAATACTTCGGCTGCCGGCTATCTCTGTCGCCCCTTCTCTTAAATGTCTTATCGCACGCGTTGGTTATTCGTTCGATCAGACTCTCCGGTGTTTCTATTCTACTGGGATCGCTCTTAAACTTCTCTTTCAGTTCGTTCAGTTTCTCGGCCGTGACCTTCCAACCTGCGGTGTTGTTGGTGCCGTCTCTCGACCGTTTAATCTTCTCTATCGAGAAAGATACCAGGACGTGATCGCTGAGCATCTCCACGTCTTCTCTCACTTCCCAGTTTGATACGCAATTTGCGATTCTTTCCGTCACCAACGTCAGATCTATTACTGAAGTCCCTCTTGGGCCCCTGTACGTTGTTATTCCCAGGGTATTAGCAAGCGTCAATCTATTCTTCGCTGCCCATTCCTCCAATAGTCTGCCTCTGCTATTATGCGTTGAGTCCCCCGCCATTCTAGTTCTGGCGTTAAAGTCGCCGCAGATAACGGCCGGTCCGTTAATCGCCCTCACTCTCCGCTCGATTTCGTCTAACTGGTCTTCAAAATCTTCATCGGGCCGGTTCGGTGAGAAATAGACCGACCATAAGGTGAAACCGTTTAGGTCAACCCCGAGGAAACCATCCCCCACCACCCAGCTCTTCGGTCTTATCGAACTTCGGACTATCTGTATGAAGGTGTCCCCTTTATTATCCGTTCTGAGTCTTTTGGATTTTCTCACGTTCGGCTCCTGTCCAACAATGACGTCTACTCCCCTCTGTTGCGCTTCCGCCTCTAGGAGGTCGTGCGCGTCCCACATACGATTGCAGTTTAGCTGCAAGATGTTCATTTCGTTGCTGCCGGCTAGTAATTACGTTTTCGGGGATCGTTCCTGACCCTTTCCCTTCTTTTTTTTCTTCTTTTCCCTCTTCTTTACTGTTTTATATTCTTCGATATTCGTCTCTTTGTCTTCCTTCTGTGCCTTCGTATCTATCTCTGCCGCACCTCTCTCTTCGCTTGTAGCAGTTTGTTCGACCTCCATTTGCGAGTCCTCGCTCGACGACTCGCTTTCTTTTCTTTCGTCGCTCTTAGTTCGTTGTTGTTCGTTGACTTTATCGGTCTCTTTAACCTCTTTCGTCACCACAGCCTTACCCATACCTCTACTTTCTCTCAGTTTAGCTACGTAAATCGGACATTGCCCCGTCGCCGCCCTGTGTCCCACCTTACTACAGTCTGGGCACTTGGCTTCGTTGGGACATCCCCTGGTCTGGTGTCCTTCTTCACCGCAATTATAACACCAGCCTCTCCGGTCTTTTCCTTTACAATCTTTCGCCAGGTGCAAGGGGGACCAGCACTTCAGACACTTTTTCACAGGTGTTCTCTCTTCTACTTGGCACAGAGCCAGGCCTACTCTTACTCTTTTCTTTCTTAATAACGTCTCGGCGTCTTCCCTCGCCATGTCGACGGTCACCGCCCTCATACTACCGGCGTACGGCCTCATGTTACTCACGGAGACATCCATGTCTTTTCCAAGCGCATTTTTGATGGCTTGCAACACTTCCTGCGCCTCGGTAGCAGTCGTCATCCCCTTGATATTTATGGTTTTCCTTCTCTGATCCCTCGTTCCTACCTCCGTGACGCTCTGCCCCTCACGCGCAGCCAGTATTTTTTGCACTTCTGCAGTCCCCGCTTTATCCCTTCTCGTGGTAATCAGAACGCGCCCGTCTCTAGTCTTTCTAATACCCTCGATTAGTTCGATTTCTTTCCTTCCGTTCATCGCTTCTTTTATTCCCATGACGGCTTCCTCGTATGACATCGTCTTGTTTTCCACTATCAGTGCGTAGGTGTTTCTCGTGTCGATGTTTTTGCTTCTCCCTGTCTCACTTTCTATTTTCTGTTCCTCTTGTCTCTTGGCCAGTGTCGTGTATATGACCACTCTTACGCCCATCGGTCTAAAGATTATTTCCACCATTGTGCGGAGGGCTTTCAGCGTCATCCCTTTCAGGTGATGCAGGGCAATGTCTTTCACATCTTTGATGTTCTCCCTGACTCTGGCCAAGTTCGTCCAAGTATCGAGCCCGGACGTACCCGCGTTGATCTTTATGACCCTTTCGGACCTTTCCCGCTCCTCTCCTTTTACTTTTATTCGGGTCGACATCTCTATCTCCTCATACTCTCCGCCTAATTCCTCCAGCACCGGGTACGTCCTCTTGAAGTGCGCCTGAACACTTTTCTCCATGGCGACGTCGTCTGGCTCGACCATGACGACTTTCGTCGTCGCTAATTTATCCCACACGGGGTTTCCCTCCTTTATCGAGGTTGTTCTGAAATCAGAATCCTCCCACTTCAGGTCCGCGGTTTCTAACCAATCCGAATATCGCATCGCCTTTTCTATCTTAAGCCTGTCATTCTGTTTCCTAAGGCTTTCTACTTCTTCTACCGACTGTGTCTGGGTAGCGATCTCCCTCGTCTCCCTCTTCTCCGTTTCCTCTCTTTTCCTGCTCGGCAGTTCCGTCTTACTCTCTAGCCACTCTTTTATATTCTGCTTCTTGAGCACTTCGGCCTCTCTCTGTAAGTTTTGAATTATGGCTTTTATTTCTCGCTTAGTGTTTCTGTCTTTGTTTTGCTCGAGCTCTTCTATAAGGCCAAGAATCGCCTTTATCGTAGTGCTCAGGAGTTTCGGCTCTTCGGTTTCGGCTTCAGCCGCTTCCCCGCTGTCGTCTCTCTGCATCCTCTTCCGCTTTGTAATGCCGCTATCAATAGACCAGCTTCTTATCCTCGCCGGCGTCTGACTTTCGAGGTCCACCATTGCCGGAAATACCAGGCCGCCGGGTAACATCATCTTCTCCTTGTCTGTCGGAACTTCTTCCACCGATACGAAGGTCTGGTCCAGGTCTTCGACTTCGGATCTACTCGACTTCATCACCTTCTCTGGTTGTGGTAGTGGTGGTGACCTCGATACCATCGAGCTCCTTCCAAAGATCGCCGTCTCTTGCTCTTTATCTCGGCTCTCAAGGCTCTGTGCGGATCTAATTTCTGTGCGATCGCGCGGAATGAGTGAGCTTCTCCTGAAGATGTTAATCTCATCTTCCTTACCCTGGCTAGCAGGGTCTCGTAAGGTTTGTTGGTCTTTGTAAACGCGCAGAGTCGACCGGTCTCCACGTGTAGGGCACGGCGCTGCTTGGCCGGTGCCCCCATCCGAGGCTTTGTCTTCTTTTGACATTACCATTTTTGGAGGCTATATGGGGCCTACCATTCCCCCCGTTTTGACTGCCGGCAGTTACGAGGTGATTACATCGGAATAACCAGAGCCTCGCCGACCCCTACATTTCTTCAGGGCGTAGCTATCCCGAGCGACGAACACATTGACATAAACAGACATTGAAACATTGATAACATCGGGGACAAGGTTATCTCTATTTTCCTTCTCTTTCTGAATTTCTCGTGTTCTCCAAAGTTCTCCCCTGTATGCCCTTCTTGTACCTTTTCTTCGTGTTTCCAGGGTATTATATTCCATTCTCCGATAAGGATGGATCACAAAACAAAAACAAAGAAATCCACATCAATTTAAGAAGACTTTAACTGGTCAAACGTACCCGGTCGAGGGGGGTCTAGGTGCCCCCCTCCGTCTTGTTGATCCGCTCTCGTCCCAGTCGAGGGGGCTTAGATGCCCCCTTTCTCCTTGTTGGTCCATCCTTCTTTTGGGTCGGGGCCAAGAAAAATAAATCATATCATTTTTAGAAAGCTTTCACTTACCAAACATACCCGGTCGAGGGGGCCTAAGTGCCCCCTTTCTTCTTGTCGATCCGTCCTCGTTTCGGTTCTCCTCCTTGTACTCTCCTCTNATATCGTCTAAATACCAATGTGCAGTATCCGGTCCCAATGGACCCAAAACTGAGGCCATCAACCTTGAAAACTCATACGGAGCATTACAAAGTCCAAAAATCATTCTTTCAAATTGACCAGTCTCATCCGGTGTTACAAATGCAGTTTTTTGCTTTGCTGATTCGGTGAGTGGAATCTGTAGGTACGCGCTACCCAAATCTAGTTGACTGAAAAGTCGACATCCGCTCAACCCAACGAATTGTTCGTCTAAAGATGGTAAGGGGAAACTTGCCTTTTCTGTTTGCTGATTTAAAGCTCTGTAATCAACCACAAGTCGAGGCTCACCACTCCGTTTCGTAACCAGAAGACAAGGAGAAGCATAAGGTGAAGTCGTCTGTGTTACTAATCCAGCTTCTCGCCATTCCTTCAAAATACCCTTCATCTTCTCCCGTTCCGTAAATGATGCTCTGTACGGCTTCTTTCGCACCGGATTTCCACTGTCCTTGATGTCCATTTCCGTTTTGTTCGTACACCCTAGTTCATCGACTGACAATGCGAAACACCCCCGAAACTCGTTACAGAGTTCCACTAACTCATTCCGCACTGACTCGTCTCCATCACAATTAATCATAGCATCTGTGACTCTTGTCGGTTCATTTCTCTTGATCATTCGGACCCCAGCTACTTTTGAACCACGAATTCACGGCCTCCGGCCATTTGTAAAGGTTGGCACTCACAATTACGCCCTCTAGCCACTCAGCCGCCTTCGGTAAATCTTTATCTCCGTCAAAACAATTGATCGATTTCGACAAATCCGGCATTACATTGAATTGATTAGAATTTACCTCTCTTTGCGTTTGTTTCATTTCTCTAAATAAATCCGTCATCGCTGACATCATCGTCGCCATCATGGAGGTCTCCGTCATCGCTCCACTCTGTCTCTCCGCAAGGTTAAACGCAAATCCACCCGGACCCGTCCTTGAGCCACCGCTCTCGGATGTTCTCATGTCGTCCGTGGAATCGCTGTTTTCCATTTTGTTCTCACAATTCAACTCACACAAGAATCCAAGACACACTCGAATCACCCGTCGAAAATGTCCGATCCAACACGTGGTTAAATTTAGGTTTATTCCACTTCTGAAGTAAAGTAAATACACTCACGTAAATTTAACTAATCAACAACTTTATTGAAACTTCAAACAAAATATCAATATAATTCAGTTCAGCGTTTATACTTCTCAAAAACACACAACCGTTTAGTCCGTCTTTTCTCGCGATACACGTCTTTTTACCTCTGCCACGCACCAACTCTCATGTTCGACTCTCAATCTTGTTCAAACCTGTTTGTTTTTATCTAACGTCTCGGAACCACAGAATAACCAGAAATGACAGTGAGCCCGTCTAGACAAAATCGGGCCTTGTGAATCGCCATTTTATTGGAGTTTATTTTGAGCTAATATCACATCGGTTTATTATTTACTAATAAAAGTTTGACATATTGACTCCAACCTAAAGTCTATTTATGATATACACATAAGTTTATATAAGTACGTGTATCTCAAATAATTAAATAATGTTTCTTATCTTTAACTGTTTGGGTAAATTACTAAGAACGTGTAATTCTGTCCTTAAAATTATCAATAACGATGGATTGAAAAAATTTATATTGCAATTCTACTTTTATATATAAATTGTGTATATATTATATTATTAAATAAAATAATAGTATAAACAAAAAAAAAATGCTGTGTATAAATAATTCTTTTACGATACAAATTTGAGCGTGTAAACCTGTATTATAAACTCCAATAAAATGGCTGAAACAGTGGAGCCATACATGGCGCCAAAGTATCGAGGTCCCAAACTCGCCGATCTAAAACATCAAACGTTCCGACAAAGCTGTCACTTCTGGTTATTCTGTGTCGGAACCTTTTCGAGCTCGGGAATCACTCCGTTGCCACCACACGCTCCGCACTACCAACCCAAAATCTCCCGCACACCAAATATCCCTAACACCTTATGTTCTATAGACCTTGTGCAGTCCTAACGAACAAAGCTAGAGTGTTAAGAAACTTTTTAATAATTTCAATACCAAAGTGATTATTTACAGATAAGCTGTGATTTATTATAACCCCACATCAAAATTTGTAATTTTAGATGCCCGTTTCATGTGCAATTAAAAATTTTTTCACATATCTGCGAAACGTCGAAGNGCCATGTGCAGTGTAATTTAGTGCAGCCGGTGCAAGTTAGTGCAGATTTTGTTGCACCTGCTTTCGATTAAGTTCAATAAGTGCAGTGTAACTAAAATGGCGGAATATTTGAAAGCGTGTTTTGTAATAATCACCTTATAATAATTAATATTTGTTGTATTAGAGAACACAGTATATTCAATCTCAGTAGAGGCAATAGAAAACTACCCCTAGTTTTTTGGAATAATTTAAAAACTACCCTGTCGATTTTGGCTTCATTAAATACACTTATAGTACATTTAAAAATATTAATTATGTGTTTTTTGTCATTTAGGGGTTAACTACCCTCACCAACCCAAATTTTTGTTTTCAAGTACTGCTTATCGATTTTGGTGCAGTTTAGCATGTGATTTCTTTATACGTTAAGTAGTACTTTTGAAAGAACTACCAAAGGTTAGTAGTTTGCGGTAGAAAATATATTTCGCTAATAATTGAAAAAAATAAAAAATAATAATAATAATTGATGAATCGCTACTAAAGAAACATTCTTCAATGATTTCATTTTCCACGAGTATTTCGCTGACAATCTCCTGTTCGTCCATTTCAAATATTATACACTTTTTTTTATCAAAATCTGTTCGTTGCGACCACGGTTTATACACTTTTCTGACGTGCTCTTAGTTGACATGACATTGCACTGACTTACACTTCATTGCACTATGACGTCATACGAGTGCCATGTCGTGCAGAGTAGTGCAGTCCCCAAGGTTTATAGAACATAAGGTTACCTAATTTCCTATGCCTCTGTAGTATCGATTATTACCCCGCAAATTGACGTCACTGGTTCGATACAGTCTGAGTAAAAGATAGCCTATACGCGCCTATACTGTGGTACAGTCTATACAAAATATTTAAACCTCGCATCGTCTTGTGTTGTTCATAGAACCAGCTACGTACGTCACTGACCCACCTTGCCTCTCAGAGGAGGAGAATCGGTATTGGGTAACCTTATGTTCTATAGACCTTGTGCAGTCCCAACGAACAAACCTAGAGTGTTAAGAAACTTTTTAATAATTTCAATACCAAAGTGATTATTTACAGATAAGCTGTGATTTATTATAACCCCACATCAAAATTTGTAATTTTAGATGCCCGTTTCATGTGCAATTAAAAATTTTTTCACATATCTGCGAAACGTCGAAGCATGACTTTACTGACTTGGTACATAAATAACATAAATAACTATTTAATAATTAATGATTTCAATGATTATTTAAGTAATATAGTGCCATCTGGTGGCCAATAGAAGTAACGAGGAATGTACATTACTTTGACGATACCTGCCAAGAATTATAAACTCAACCTATAGATGTCGGGTTTAATAAATGAATTTTGACAGTTTCTCAAGTTCAACAACGCAAGAACGTAGTTAAACGTCGGAAGTGGTTGAAAAAATTTGTTCCGGTTTTTGTTGGAGATGTAAATAGCGTTTTGATTCTAAAGAAAAATCATGTCATCAACAGATGTCGAGGAATTTTATTCAAACGATATCGTTTATCGTATCGATGCGCGAAAACGAATAGTTCACGGAATCGTATTAGACAGTTACGAAGACTTGGGCAATTCGGATGAGCACAATGCGTTACAAAAGGGTCAATTACGCGTTTTATGGTCAAATAATTCCCGTGAACTCGTTTGGAGGCAGAAAAAAGTAAGGTTATTAAGTCGAAATATCATTCCTGGCGATATCGTGAGACGACTTGTTCATGGTAAAGAGACTCAACGAGGATATTGTAAGGATTCTAAACAGTTTGCAACTATACAAATTGTTGGGACTGATAAAATAGTTGAAGGAGTATTTGGAAATCGTTTAAATCCGGTCACCCCATATGATCGAAATGTTATCGTGTCACTTGGAGAAAAAGTTGGAAGAATACAGGTAATAAAGTTAAGTAAAGATACCTATTGTAAATTAAAATGTTGGCATTTTTATTTAGAAATTGGATCAGTTGATTACCATGAGATCAAAATGTGGATCAACTGTTGAAATTTCTGATAACTACAATATGGAAATTGGTGATTACTGGATGCGAAAAAGAAATAGGGATTATTTAGAATTGTATTATGCAGGTCAAGAAGTGGTAAGAATGATACTGACATTTATAAAGCACATTAACAGTGGCTAACAAAAAGAGAAATTGAAAAAATGCTTTAATTTTAATTTAATTATTTCAGATTTGTACACCTTGCGAATTGGAACGTCCACGTTGGATTCATATGACGAAATCTATGAAACGCAATATGCAAATGCGTCAAAGGTTTACCATTCAAAAAGTGGAACCCTCATGCGTTTGTGTAGTATGGTTTGAAGGTGATGTGGCTTTAAAAGATATTTCAAATCATTATACGGATCTAACTCCTAAAGATATAAAATCGTAACGACATCAACAAAAAAAACAACAACAGATCTCTTTGCAACTTAATGTTTTATTTTAGTTTAAAATACCTAGGATCATTAGAAAATAATTACCTGGATTTAGGACAACGAAAACTATTAACATTAACATCCATGGATCGATTAATAAGAAAGCGTGATTGGAATCGAAAACAGATTGTTCTACATCGGTCTGAATTCGTAAAAGTTATACATAATAAAACCTTGGGAAAAAAGTAAGTTCTCTCTAATTTCTGTAGAACTTGGAAATATGTCAATTTCTATTTGTTACATTGTGTATAACAAGTTTGGAAACAACAGAATGTTCACAAAGTCAAAAATAATTTTACAATGTATTAACCTATTGAATTGATAGTTTTTTAAACAAATATTAAACTTATAAATGTTTACTTTCTAGATGCAATCTGAAAAACGCCCGTAATAGTTGTACCGCTGCCAATAAAACGATAACGAATGTAAACGATGAAACGGATGAAGACTGGTTTACGGAAGAAGTTTCGGAGACCGAGCGGGATGACGAACATTTCGCCAGTTCACCATCGTCTTTAGCTTCTCTACTTCAATCAGATAAATCAACAATTTCGATTACGAAAAAAGCTGATTATATCGTTTATCCTCCTAAAACATCGGATTTGGTTGTTGGCCGTACTGTCCCAGTAGAGGTTGGTTATTTTTTTGGAAACGTTAAATTTTTATAGGTAATCCTAAACAATATACGACTCGTAGCATCCATTTACAGTTCCAGCTAAATTATAATACATGTCGCTGATAATTAGGCATCATTAGTAACTTGAAAACTAATTTCTTCTATTTACTATGTAAAACACAGTACTGAATCTTATGTATTCTTTTAATTTTAAATTTCTTATTAAGGAATAAGTACAATGAAAGCATTTTTGATTAAAACGAAAATTGCATCAAATTTTCAATTAAACATCTAACATGTTAAAAATTTCATTATAATTAAATTATAGCGGTCCATAGTGCCTTGCCTTGGCCTGAATAATGGTCTTGAATGATTTAACTAATTGCAATGATTGTTTTAAAAATGTAGTAATTAAAGTTTTTTCTTATAAAGGTTATCTGCTTCGAATCAAAAACAACGGTCGTTTGGCAAGATGGAACGGAAGAAACCGATATACCGTCAACGGAACTTTACTATTCAATTTCGTTAGATGATCACGAATTCTTTCCCGGGGAATGGGTTCTTATGACGGATGATAGGGATAACACTGGCAAATTTGGCGTTGTTCAAGCGGTTAATCATCTAGAAAGAACTGCAAAGGTATGTTACTTCATTTATTTCATGTGGAAAATTTAAATTAAATCTTAGGTGAAATGGTTTAATAATTCTTTGACAAATGATGGGCCGCCTGAAGTCATTAACATAACAGAAATAAGTGTGTACGATTTAAAGAAACACACGAAATTCGCTTTTCGCCCTGGTAGTCATGTTAAAAATAAAAATGGAGGATTTCAAGGAAAATTAGGTTTTGTTAGAGATAGTTGTCCAGAGGTATTAAGTTATTAATGGTTAAATTCTCTTTGGTCATTGTATGTTTTTGGTTAAAGGGTTATGTAATGGTCGAATGGCATAACGGTCAAACAGAAGATTGTTGGCCGCAAACGATCGAATTAATTTCGGACGGTGGTGATTTCATATTTTCAAATAGCGATGACGACGAAGGTGATATGTCAAGTGTTGTCTCTTGGGAAACGGAAAGCATCGAATCCATAGCTGGTGACCTATCCGAAGAAACCACACTTCAAGTTATGGCAGCCCGTTTGGATTTCATTCGAAATCGGATCGTTTATTTAAAAGAGGCATTTAAAAGTAATAACGTTAAAGAGACTTTCACTTATTTAAGGGATTTGCTACTGGTTTATGAAAATTCAAGTTATTTAGATAAATTGTTGGATACGTCGTTTTTTAGTCCTAAGAGTAGACACTATCAAGTAAGTACATACATAAGTATAAAAAGAAACGCTCAATAAAAATATTAACTCTTCTTTTTATTCTCTCGTTAAAGAGTTTAATGGCATTGGTACGCGAAAAAGCAAAGTTTTGGGGTGTTGAGTTTAGGGGTCGCCTTTTCAGTTACGATTCAGCAACAACAACCGGCAACAATCAATCGCCAACTTCGAAAGTTGTCTCTGCGGAGAAGAATAACATTCAGAAATTAGTTAAATTGGAACATAAAATTAACGCTCAGTTGGAGAATCAACAACAGCAAATTAAGGATGTTTCTTCTGGAGGTAAGAAGTACTGCTTAGAAAAGATCTAAGCTTGCTTTCTTAAAAAAGTATATTCCATAAAATAGTTAATCAGATTTATGAGTAATAAATCAACCGTTTCTGACCGAATTGGTCGAATTGGTCGCGATATGATAAACGTTACTTACTACAGCTGATAAATGTTCCATGAAACCATGTTTCAATAATGTAATTTAATTAAACATTTCGTGTAGTTCAAGTAGGCGTGTCGCAACGGTTAACCGCGCATTTTATTTCGTTACTTTGATTTAATTAATACTTATAATTTTTTTCCATTCATATAAGAACCATCGACTTCGATCCCACCGTCCGAATCGGATCCTCCGTCGAAGAATTTATGCGTCGAACTTCTTTCGATGTTAAAACCGCGAATGGATTTGGCTTACGCGGAGATTATGGCACGAATCGGCGGAACGCAGGCGCACTCCGTAATGACAAAAGCCCAAGAACAGAATATAGCAGCATCGGCACCGTTACAAAGTATTCCAACTACCCCAGAAATTATTCAACAGTTGAACTCGCCACCCGTTTTCACGTCCGACACAGCTTCCAGTCTTGCGTTAATTTCCGAAGAAAAACCTCCTCCACAGAATGTCGACGATTACGTTGATAATAATAAAATAGACGATGACAATAGTGACAACTTTTACGTAATGTTAGATTCAGCACCGTTAAATCATCGTTTCATCGGCAACAAATTTGAACCGCACAATAAACAAACGTTCTTCAAGTCGGTACAGAAAGAATGTCAATTGTTGAAGGATTCGTTGCCGCCGGGAGTTTGGATAAAAACGTATGCAAATCGTTTGGATTTATTATCGGTAATGATTCGTGGCCCGGATAAGACACCCTACGAAAACGGATTGTTTATTTTCGAAATTCAACTGAGTTCTGATTATCCTCGATCGCCCCCACTTTGTCACTACGTTAGTTACAGCTCGGAACGTTTAAATCCGAATTTGTATGTTGAAGGAAAAGTGTGTATATCGTTGTTGGGTACTTGGATGGGCCAAGGCACAGAAGTTTGGGGACCCGAAAGCACTTTATTGCAACTTATCGTTTCGATTCAAGGATTAATTCTCGTTAGCGAACCGTACTACAACGAGGCGGGCTACGAAAGGCAATCAGCCAGCCAACAGGGTTATGAGAATTCAAGAACTTACAATGAACTGGTCGTTTTGAAAATGGTTCAGTCAATGACAGAAATGATTCGATCGCCACCGGAAGTGTTTAAAAAGGAAGTGTTGGATCATTTCACGAAGGTCGGAGACAAGATGTGCGATCATTTGAGAAAGTTTTGCAATGATGATTGCGATGTCTTAAAGCCGGAATTTCCATTGCTACCCGTTTCAAAAGGGCTTAAAATATCCTTGAATACGTCGTTGGATCAGTTTCAATTGGTTTTGAAGAATGTCGAACAAGAAAAATGAAATAAGATGAAAAATAAATATTTGTGATGTACGTTTTTTTCGGGTTAATTTTTTTTTTTTTGAGTTCAAGTAAGTGTTCATCAAGAGTATTTTTTTATTTCTGTTATAGATTTGAATTTTGAATCAGCAATGTTATTATTATTTTCTATTGTTATTTAGATTATTTACTTTAGATGAGTTTATTAAGACTGATTTTTTTGAGGTTAGAATCTTTTGATTTTTATTTTGATATTTCAATAAACAGTATTATATTTATTTTTCCTTTAAAGTCAGTAGCATTTTGGGTTATATGGTAATATTTTTTTAAAATATACACAACTATTTGCTGTATATAAGTATAGTTTTCTCAGGGAAAATTGAATATTAGCTAATATTGTTATAATTTATTGTTTACAGTAATAATAATTCTTGTTTCCCTATAGAAAAAAAGAATTGTGATAATACTTGAAAATAATAAACACTGTTCTCGTTAATTATCATGTTTTAATCCGTAAATGTTAGTTATTGAAAAGCTTCAAGTCGCATTTTACGGTTGTGATTAATTAAAATAGTAAAAATAGAAGAGAAATTGGGAAAGTAGATCACCAATATGTTTTTTAACAAATTACTTTAAATTAGTAAGATTAGTACGTATGATTAATGGCAATGATTTATAATCACAAGTAGTTCAAACTGAAACCCGTCAGTCAGCATATTAATTTATTGAAATGTGAGATGAGTAAACTCGCTGTTTTTCATGCCGGTATAGTAGTCTTCTGTAATTGGTGTATGACGCTGAAATCAATAGAACAAATTCTATACAAAATAAATGGAAATAATACAGTAATAACACCGAGAGGAGTAGGTATATTGTAGGGTAGGATTCCTTTTCAATCTAGCAGCTTAATGACGAAGGTCAAGAAAAAGATAAAAATAAGTATTTCGTTACTTCGTAAAGGGACAGTTAAAAACTTTTTTTCTCTGTATTGTGAATATATATACCTACCGTCCACCATTTACCTGGCCGATTGCATTTTGACAGGTAGTCAACCAAGATACGTTGGTTTTTCCGGCGAAATTCCCCATTTTGTTTAATTTTTATGCGAAAAACTAATAAACCGATATTTGATTGTGAGGTATCGTTGCATTCGTATTGTTTTCATCTTTCGGAAGATACCATAATACACTGGGTGTTCCATTTAACAAAACACAGTTGATCCATTTTCCGGAAAAACATAAAAGTGATAGCAAAATTTTCCATAAGAAAATATTTGTGCTGATAAAATATAGAAACTGACGGTTTTTCGTTCATATTGATATCTCAATCTGTTCGGAAGTTAAAAAAAAAAGGGGGGGGGGTTAGTTTACGCTAGCACTGTATATTTCCTAGTTCTTTTAAGGCGGCAACAAAGTTGACCGACGTATACGCAGATCGCGGTGTGATATTCGTGAGTGTTAACTGTTTTGGAATTGATGGTTATTTATATAGTTTTATTACAAAAAACGACTCAACATGTTTAATGTTCTCATTGTTAGATAAAACCGAATACACGCTCGACTCGCAAAGCGACTCGTTCGATAAAGCATCACTTTGCTGACTTGGTACATAAATAACTATTATCTACGACTGCTAGAATAAGTCATCATTACCACACTGGTTTGAGGTGATTTGAGTTACGTAATGAAATTCATTACCGCACTGGTTTTATTACGTAATGCATTTTTAGCCCAATCAGATCAGACTTAATTTATTTAAACTAGCAACAATACAAAACAAAAAGTGCTACCTATTTAAAGAGAAACAATACTATTTATTATAAACATTAATTGTTATGTTTTTACATATCTAAGCACTTATTCCAGATGCGTAAACATGTTATTGAAACTGACATTAATTCAAAATTGTCAACAATCATTTCAAAATATATTTATAAATGTCAAAATAGACCTTTTTATAGAAATTGATTTATAAGTAATTTTTAGCAGTCGTAGATAAAATGTTGTATATCATACGTGGGCTAGAGCATAATTACAGTACTCGTGTGATTACACGACTCGGTCTTACACCTCTTCCTACAATTCTTCACACTTGTACAGTAGTTATGTTTCTAGCCCACTTGTAATATAAATAACTACTCCTATTATTTACTTGCAACCGTTTCTGATCGAAATTGTAAACAAATGTAAACATTTTTAAGTACTTAAACTAAGAAATAGAGCGCCCGAACAACCGAGATATTAATTCATTTAAAATTTAAATATCCATCGTTTCCAAAATATCAAAATTTACTGGCACTTGTCAATAAACTAAATTGTGATAAAAAAAACCATTAAAACAAATGAATCATAAATTGTTATTAAATTGTTAATCGTTATTTAGTATCCAAAGTGCGGTTTTAATTCATTGCGTCATCGAGTCGTTTATAAATTGTCCTCATTTCACTGAAAACCATTAATTTATCAGAATGGTTTCCTTTCATGCAGTGTTTATTATAAGTTGTTTTGTGTGTTCAATTAATTGTATGAGTGTTGTTGAAGTCTTTGAAGATGGCATTGGTGATATTATACCGAAACAACGACCTTACAATCCGGATGAATTTTTAAAAGCTGTAAGGTTCATTTCTTTGTTCTATCGCATCTACTTACAGCTCATATAGAAATAAGAATTTAATACTGTTCTTTTAGCCGGAACTAATAAGGAGATACGGATTTAAATCTGAAACTCACACAATTCTAACGAAAGACGGTTATTTTTTAACTCTCCATAGAATTCCGTGCAATCAGAATGGAAAAAAGGGGAATCAACCGGTTTTTATTCAACACGGTTTACTATCGAGCAGTGCAGATTTTTTAGATCACGGAAATAAATCTTTAGGTGCCAAAATCAAAAAGGGGTCGAGCATCTGTTATTAACTTTTGTTTTAAAAAATATTTTAAGGATTCTTATTAGCTGAAACTGGTTACGATGTTTGGTTGGGAAACGCACGTGGAAACAGTTACTCAAAATCCCATGCTAGTCTTGACGTCAATTCAAATGACTTTTGGGACTTTAGTTTTCACGAAATGGGCATTTACGATCTTCCGGCCGTTTTCGAATATATTTCAAACGAAACCAATCAATCAATTTTGCATATTGGACATTCAATGGGGACGACGATGTTTTTTATATATGCGTCATTACACTCGGAGGAAGCAATGAAGTTAGTAAAAGGAATGGTCGCTTTAGCACCTGTAGCTTACATGACGCATTTTACGTCTCCGATTCGTTACTTTGCACCGTTTTCCAACGATATTGAATGGCTTAGAGAATATCTTGGATTTAAAGAGTTTTTACCCAGAGGAAAGATTTTACATTTACTATCGTACGAGTGTAAATTGATGAATATTACCGAAGAAATTTGCGAAAATTTTATTTTTATGTTGTGCGGTTTCGACCCAGTACAATTTGATATGGTAAGTGATAGTTTCGTAGTAATAATTTTATAAAGAAAAGAACCTAATTTAAATGATGTGGCAACGCGACTAAAGTTCCAATTAATTAATTAGGAGATGTTATTTGTACTCGAATACTACGAATGTTTTTAGGATCTCAATAATAAAAAAAAAATTTTGGCATTTCATTTAAAAAAAAAAGTAGACAGTCGCCATTTTAAAATAATTCGTCCAATTGAAAATATGATATCACCATCGTGTAGAGAATGTCCTAAAACATGTTACTGCCAAATATTTTGAAAGTAGTACCCATAGTGTGGCTAAAAAAAAATAAGGCGCTTACTCTGAATCAGGCTGTACACTGGACAACTATGCGAACTTAACCCCCAATTAGATAGCATTAGGTTATAACAAGATATGATATGATGTTATGACGATTTCATCTAATTTTAAGTGTTGTAGTTGGTAGAATACGGAATTCGGAATGTTTTAGAAAAAAAGTTTTAGTATAAAAGTTGTAGCACATTTTGTTCTTAACAATATTGTGTTTTTACACATGTCTTCTCAGATGCAATGTCGAGAAAAATAAGAAAAGGTGAAAATTAGATGAAATCGTGGTTTTACATATTGATATTGGTAGATCACGGGTTCCGGAACGTTTTGTAAAAAAAGTGTTAGTATAAAAGTTGTAATAAATTTTATTCTTAACAATATTACCTTTTTTTTACACTTTAACACTTTAACAGTGTTAGTATAAAAGTTGTAATAAATTTTATTCTTAACAATATTCCTTTTTTTTACACTTTTGCTCTCTAATGAATGAATATCAAGAAAAATACGAAAAGGTGAAAATTAGGTGTAATCGAAGTTTTACATATTATTGTTGTTAGGACACGGGATTGGGAACGTTTTAGAAAAAAAGTTTTAGTGTAAATGTAATACATTTTATCTACGACTGCTTGGATAAGTCATCATTACCGCACTCATTTGAGGTGATTTGAGTTACGTAATGAAGTTCATTACCGCACTGGTTTCATTACGTAACGTATTTTCAGCCTAATCAGAACAGACTTAATTTATTGAAACGAGCAACAATACAGAAGAAAAAGTGCTATCTACTTACAGAGAAACAATGTTATTTATTATAAACATTAATTGTTATGTTTTTACATTTCGAAACACTTATAACAGATGAGTAAACATGTTGTTGAAACTGACAATTCAAAATTGTCAACAATCATTTCAAAATATTTTTATAAATGTCAAATAGACTTTTTTACTACTCGTGTGATTACACGACTCGGTCTACGACCTCGTCGTACAATTCTCCACACTCGTACAGTAATTATGCTTCTAGCCCACTTGTAATATAAATAACTATTATTCTTAACAATATTGCTTATTTATACTTTTACTCTCAGAAGCATAAATATCGAGATAAATTCACAATAAGCCGAACATTGTGTCGTTCTGAGGGGGGGTACAAGGTAAAAGATAAAATAAACTATGGCGAATCGAACGACGTATAGATCTTGATATTTTCACTTTCGTATTGGCCAAGGATTAATCTTTTGAATGAGATATTGTTCGTCAAAATCGGTTGAGAGGTTCTCCTGTTATAATCAAAATCCTATCTAATTATGGACTAGAAAAATTTAGGGCTAACTTCGCATAGGTCTACTATACATATGTATCAATACAGGAAGTTGTTTATGATTAGCGTCTATTATTTTTTATAAATAGGATTACTTGCCGACTGTTTTAAACCACGTTCCAGCTGGCTCCTCAACAAAAACCGTAATTCATTATGCTCAAGAAATCGCAAATAAAGGAAATTTCCAGTATTTTGATTACGGAAAAGAAGAAAATATGGTTAGATACGGTAGTTTAACGCCTCCTTTATACAATTCAACGAATATTCAGGTCCCTGTTTACCTTATGTACTCAGATAATGATTCAATGGCGAATAAAATTGTAAGTATAACAACAAATATAATGATGAATTGTATTAGGTAAGATTTATGATTTCATTTTTAATTTTCAGGATGTACTTAAATTGGCTTCCAACTTACCAAATTTGGCGGGCACATATGAAGTACCGTTAAAAGAATTCAATCACGTTGATTTTCTCTTCGCAAAGGACGTTGTTGAATTAGTTTATAAACCTTTATTGAAACAATTAAGCAAATTTTAATAATTTTATTATAATTTCTCAATCAAAATCAAAAGATAATGCTTTTGATTTCGAGTTATTTCTGTGGTAACAAAGCTTTCGTGTAAAAATAAAATTATCCGATTAAAAGTCAAGCTCTTGTGTATTTACCCCCGAATAAAACATGCAGTTAGTTTTGTCTTGTAACGCCCGTTCTCAAACTTGTAAATCTGTAGGCTGCCGACATTATCTACAACATGCAAACATCAGGATTTAGCAAACTAAAATATAAACAAACCTTCATATATGTTTCAAATAGAAAAGCGCCAAGTCCCCATAGAGTCTCGTAGGTTAAAGGTTTGTTTGCTCTCAGTATAACGAATTGAATATTAAGTTTTTGTTTTTTTGATGTCAACCAGTTTAGATCGAAAAATGCATCTCCAATTGATAAGCTCTTGAATTAAGAATATAAAAATCAGCTGCATTGGTCACTAAAAGTATTTATAGAATACGTGGTGATAATATTTACTTTGTCGTGTAATCTTTGTCCGGAGCGACAGACAAGGTAAACGGTAAAAGTCCATCCTACAAGATTCAGCATCGCCATCGTAGAATATTCTTCAAAAAATGCAATCATCGAACAACCGACATTTATGGCATATCCTAAAAGGACTATTGTTATAGCGCTTTTGTAACAGGAATTCACTTTCCCTGTTAAACTATTAATTACACTAATTTAGAAAAAGAAATAAAGATCGGCTTTTTTATCATACTCAATGATGTGGATGTGGTACAGAATGCATATTCTTAACTTATTGTATTGAATTTCATCTTCCTCATTTTCATCAACTATTATCCTTACCAATTGTTTTAAATGATTTATGCGGATAATTATTAATTCAATAGTAGCAATACTACTAATCAACGCTTGACAACCACAAAAACAGGTATGAAAAGCAATATAAGCTTGAATAACTGTATGTATATAATACAAAGAACCTTTTAATTCATAAAAGGGATAGGATACTTCTACAACAAATCCACAATAGATTAGCCTATTGGTATCTGCGCGAACTTCTACACATGATTCGTATTCACGAAATCCCTCAAGTGTTGCAGTGAAAGCTGCAAATCCACAATAAGCTGACAGTAAGAAACAAAGACGATCTATGAATTTTATTTCTTGTTCTAAATTTTGTGGATTGCCGAAATTATCAAAACATTGTATTATTTTAAATATGGTTCTATGTTCGTGTCTTTTGATGTAAAGCAAAATGTAATTACTGAACATCATAAGGTAGGTAGCACAAGCTAAGAGACAATTACATTTTTCACCCAAAGAGACACCTGAATCTAAAATATTAAGGTTTTAAATATCCTTCATTTATTGTTTTATGTTATTCATACCTGCAATAATTTTGATCAAATTATAAAGCATTCCAAATCCATAATAGAATAAAATACCCATTGCCAGTCTTGTTAATCGCAATTGAATTGTACTAAATCCCTTCTCTCCGTAAATGCCTGCATACATATAAATGTTACGTAGGAGAAGTAGGTATAACATCTTGTTTAATTCTCTTTCATAACAGGTTATTGTTACTGTATTTATTCTGAAATACGTGTAAATAATATTTATAAGTCTGGGAAAGATGCCTGATGGTTTATTTAAAAATTTAAATCAAAATCGATGTGTAATTTTTTACAGTAGACATAATTAGGTTAAAATCAAATTTTTATCAAAGACACAGATATTACGTACTTTTATCGACATATTAGTAAACGTGCACGAAACCAATTATCTATAAAAAATATAAATAAGGCAGTAAATGGCATGTATGAACGATTCGTGGTACTCAATTGTATTTTTTTAAGTCTATAATTTCGTGAAGGTTTATGCAAAATTTACGATTTCATACAAACAGGTGTTCACTATTGAATAATTTTATATGTTTTTGTTATGTGCAAATATTGGAAAAAAATAGGCTAAAATTTTGATGAACTATTTTACTTTAATGAACTTTCATATTTTGGATTAATGAAAACAATAACAAAAAAGACAAGAACAATAATAAAAATTTATTCCATTTAAATGAAGCATTGTTGCAATCAAAAACTATATGGGCGGATATCCATAGCCAGGTAACAATACATTAACATTGTTATTCATGTAGTTGGAATATTTATTTTTTGAATTTATCGTTAATACCCTCTTCTTTTTTCGAACCTTCATTTCAGCTTCATCAGAGTTATTCACTGAAATAAATATATGAATATAACAATTATTTTTTGTTTATGAATTCAGCAACTGTATGAATCTTAGTATTGAGGTTTTTATTAATAGAAAGTAAAACTGAATAATGCCTGTTCATTATTACCAACGGTTAAAGCTATTTTTTTGATTGGGAAAAGAAAATTAAAATATCCAGATCTAAAGTGTTTTCTCAAAATTGTCTTTAGGTAACCCATTTAGATTTAGAAATTGCTAAACAATTATTGTTAAAGTTTTGTAAAGTCTTGTCACGTATCTACAGCTTGGCAGACGATGTATGGAAAATAAGAAATTATTTATGGCACATGAAATCTTCATGAAATTTGTTTTAAAATGTTCTTTATTTCATGATGAATTTCAGAATGATTTGAGATATAATTCATTCTTGAGATACGATTTCTTTTTTATTTATATTTCATATCTATAACAATCAAACCTATGGGGTTGGATTTAAAAAATTATAATAACGCTGCATATGAAAAATAAGGTAGATTCGTCAAGCTGCACAACCCAATTAAGAGATTATCAATGTTCAATCATAGAAAAAATTCTAAGCTGGATTCTGTACAAACGATCTCGGCTCAATGCCGAAAATGTGTAGGAACACGTGAAACCTTTATAACTTAGGCAGATCTCGTTGTCCTACGCTAACAACAAAAATTACCGCTTTTACTATTTGTTTTGATTAATTTTCGAGATATAATCCGTTGTAATATGACCTTACCTAATTGATTCATATCCAATTCGGCTCGAATGGATAGTTTAAAAAGAGTATTTCCTGGATTACCTAGGTTAACCTAATATTTAAAACTTTATTTTAATCTTACATAAATATTTTTAGATATTTACGTACGTTATTCCGGCAAATAATTCGATTATTGCACTGAACTGAAACCAAGTCAGGTAACAGGTCTTGATATGGAAATATTACGGCCCAATTTATTATATCCGTGGTGGGAATGTCTTCCTGATCTGTTAACAGTATCATTTTTAAATTATTCTGAAAAAAAAAGTTTGAAATAAAAGTCAACCAATTATTGAATCTCAAATAAACTTACAGTTGAATCCAGTGTTCTTTCTAAACTCATATTTAACTGTACTTCAATCTTTTCAATGTCCAACGGTTTTTGAATCGTTATGACGCCAAAGAAACCTCCAAATTCGTTAGCAAACCGATAATGAAAAACTTCAGGACATCGAATTAAAGGAATTACAACATTTTCAGGAATCACGTAGGTCGGTTTCACGTTTTTGAAAATACTCTCACTTCTTACCCACTTATATCTACTATCATCACTGTTTTTCTCTAATAAATTACTGTCAACAATATAAACTGCTATACTAAAAACTAAAAAAAGGATTGGACAATGTGTTTTATATGGCATAATCGACATCGTAATTTTTACGGAAATACATTTATTTTTAACATATTCGTTTTTTAATGTGTATTTTTTATATTTCTTTGTTAAAGAAAATATTGTGTTTCTTTAATGATTGTGTAGGATGATGTTTTCTCTTAAATTCTATAATATACATATAACCAGAGAATATGATGTAGATATAAACGTTTGTGATCCCAAAAGCGTTTAAAAGACAAGAACAAGTGCCTAAGATAAAAAAAACTGAGCAGTAATATGTGTAGTATGTATACCGTCCGCATCATAAGTAACCAGATTACAATGGTCAGTGTGTCTGTAAAGTAGCGGATATAGGCGATAAAATCATTATAAACGGTTTATGGAAAGATCCCTGAAAAGGGTCTAAAGATTTTAATGTTTTGCAATTTTTTAGTGTAGATTTCAAATTATTTCCGCTATTTTTAAACGAGTTATGACATCATCGATAATTTTTTCAAATGGCCATCCCCCATTTGTGTTACTGTATATGAAAGAGGATTTTTTTCTGAATCTAGTACAGTCAATATTAATATTGGTTACATAAGAACATTTTCAAGAAAAATTACTTTAAAGTTTAATTACTTCAAATTTAAATAAATTATAGAAATAGCATAGTAGCCAAGAATAACTGAATTTTGATGTATAATTGGTTACCAAATTATACAAAATTCAGTAATCGGCTGTGAAATTGTACGCCAAACTTGACAAATAGATTATAGAGCCTTGTCATTTACATAAACAGTAAGCAACAACTAAAAAATCAAATATCTGTATAACCTATTTGTGAAGTTTGACGTACAACTTCATAGCTAACTACTGAATTTTTGGTTCATATTAAACAAGATTAACGAAATACATGTCTTTAGTTATTTGAGTTTTTTATGAAAACAACAAAGTTTTTTAAAAAGTAATAAAAATAAAAAGTGTTTTAGAATTAAATTCCACACGAAATGAAGTAATTATGTATTAACTCCGTCAAAAGGTTAAAAAAATCTGTAAAAATTTAGGCTAGGTACCATATCCCTTAATCAACCCTTTGAAATGCCTTATTAATACCCTTGGTACACTCAAAACGTATACGAAATTTGGTTTCTCTTGCTTAATGTATTACAAAGATATTGTATATTTTAAACTCTCAAGACCCAACTTTGAAGGCCTGTAACTCCTCAGGGGTATAACTTAGTATAGAGATAAGTTGCGTTAAATCATCTTAATTTATTGTCCTCTAAATGTCCCTGCTCTGTGTCGGTTCTTATGTGAATTAGCCTGTATAACTTGATTATGTAGTTCATATTATCTAATTACTATTGTATTTAAAAATGAGAATTAAATTTGTTGGAATTGGAAGTGCGTATAAACATCAGCATCGGTGGTTCAATGGTAGAATGCTCGCCTGCCACGCGGGCGATCCGGGTTCGATTCCCGGCCGATGCATTTTTATCAATAATTTTTTATTACGAATCAACTTGAATATAACAATTACCAGAATTCTATCTGTTTCAAATTTATGTCGAACGCAAAACATAAATATTTTGTTTAAAAATCCTAGAAATTACATTTGATGAACTGGATAATATGACAAAATAAATATCTCATATTAGAGAAAAGAAAAAGTAATACATAATATATGTAAGTATATACGAAGGCTTTTACGGCCGCAGTGAATTGAACTAAAATTAGAACTAAAACTAGAAACTTTCGCGTTTTGCCGTGCGTCTTTTAAGAAAAGGTTTGACGTTTAGGATGCCATGTTGCAACCTTCTTCGAAGTTCTTCGAAGTGACTTCGAACCAGTTTCTGCAGAAGGTTGTAACATGGCAGCCAAAACGTCAAGCCTTTTCTTAAAAGACGCACGGCAAAACCCGAAAGTTTTAGTTCTAATTTTAGTTCAAGAAAAAGTAATGTTACCGAGCAAAAATTCGACCTCGAGATTTTGATGGACTACATAATTACATATACGGTTTGAAGTTCTCAAATCCAGTATAAATTGAGATAAATGTACGCCTTTGTAGAGTTTATGACAGAGTTTAGCAAACGTTGTTTTGAGTTTATTTGTTTTCCGCCTTAAAGAATCACCATATCGATAATATCACTACATATAACGCATAATATTTACATTCATTACGCATCGTTACGTCAATGGCAATAAATATTCATTAAAGCGCATAATCATCGTTCTCTTAACACCTAATTGAAGGAACATATGTTTATATCAAGTTATTTAGGTCACTTTACAAAAATATTAACATACCATCTACAGAGTCTTCAACGAGAATCGTATATAACATATAGGTCAACTTAATATAGGCTTATTTCTTGAACAAACTATTTCAAATGTTCTATATTAGATAGCTTAATTATACAGAATTTTTAGACCCATCAAGACTATATAACGATGTAACATAAAAGAAGTTTGTGAAAACCGTTTTCCCGAATGATAAAATTTGTGATAATTTGTGATGATAAAATTTGCGAATGATAAAACAAAATCTCTATATTGTTAAAATAAGTGTTATACGATAAAGTGATGCTCTGTGTACTAGTTATACTTGAAAATTTGTTTTTAATTTCATAAATTAAATACCTATATTACCACTTTAACAGATTTTAGTTATATTTTAAGATTATTAATATAGAAAATTTAAATGAAAATCATTCTTTATCGCTTTAAAAAAATCCAACTAGACATAAAAGTAATTAAAAGGTCGATAACTCTTCTCTTCTTGAACCGAATTGCGTAAGATCTCGATCCCAATTGGTGCACGCGTTTTACTTATTGAACTGCTGGGCAACAGTTTAACTACTCCTTTTTTTTTGAGTCGCGTTTGGTAATGTCATCATTAAAAGAAGGCACACATAATGTCGAACACAATTTAAAAGTTACCGTTCTGTTTAACATAAACATCGTTCCCGGAGAGATCTTTACACACAAACAGTTTCTTGTGGCACAGAACGTGATCGAAAGTGTAATACTGGTTCGTCATATAAAATTGGCAAAGAGATGCTGTTTTAAAGAGAAAACAGTTCCGGTGTTTCAAAAGTGAAAATTATTTGTTTTGAAAGGATATGGGGACGGTTTCCAGAGTTCACTAGGTAATTATTAAGAAAAAACATATAATTTTACGGAAAGTCAGTGTTGGGATTGGTTTCAAACAGTTTACTAAAATTGAATTTATTTTTCTAATAAACAGAAACACGATCAAATACACGTTTAAACCAGTAATTGGTAAAAATGCTGGTTCAATTGAAGTATTACTAATTTTTAGATAATTATTAGGAAAAATCATGTTCTACAATAAATGGGTTAAAGAAGCCATTTTTAAACATTTCTGGCTTTTGTGTTGTTTAAAAATATGTGTATTTCAAACAGTTTCTGGACAAAGTAAGACTCATTTATTAATCTTAATTCTAACATTTAATTTTCTGGATATTTTTTTAGAAGAAATCGTGGACCTCTTAAATCATGCTGACCTTATCAGCGAACCATTTGAACTAAAAAAAGTTCCCGGAAGATGTTTTTCTAATAATAGCAATAATACAATTGAAAACGATTTCGGGTTTAAATTAAGCGACAAATCTCAAATTCTACTGAGCACAAATAATTTATTTCCGCATGGATTTCCGAAAGATTTTTCAATCCTATTTGTAACCAGAGTTTTTGGTAGCTAAATACAAATGAAAAATTTAAATCGCGATTTTTTTTTATTTCGATTTTTTTAGGACCTGGAAATCCAATTTTTACAATTTACAGTGAAAACGGTGACGAACAATTAGCTTTGACAGTTGGCCAAAATGAAGTAACTCTACTTTACGAGGATCAAGACGGTTTACCGGAAGATGGAAATTTAATACCTTTTGATATTCCACTTAACATTAACGAGTAAATAAATAGTATTTAATAAACATAATTCTCAAGTATTTTTTTAGGTGGCATAGATTAGCTTTTAGTGTAAAAGGTGATTCCGTAACGTTGATAAGTAATTGTCAATCAACCATAAGTAAAAAACTTGCAAGGAAACCTTCTTCGACTCTTACTACTTCAGGAATTATTACAATGGGCCATGAACTTATCGGAGGTGGATTCTACAACGTAAAATATATTGCGATATAATTTTAAAATATTGTCCACAATTATTCTAAAATGCTACCTCTTTAACATTATATCGATATTTCATTGATAGAATAATTAATTAGAATTTTAGAATAATTATGGACATTTTTAAAAATAAAAATATACATACATATACAGAATGTCCCATCGGTAGTGGTATCGGCTTTTTTGACGTCTAAATTTCAAGATAGAAACTTCAAATTCCATATGTATTAAGCTACCCTACTTGGCCCTACAGGTGGTGAAAATATCAAATAAATTTTTTATTGCACGGTTTGTGAATAATTTGCAAAAATGGTAAAAATAAGAAAATTTATGGTTTTATTTTTTAACGATTCTTATATTATATGATGTGGGAGTTATAGTAAAGTAAATTCACAGCAAAAAAATGCGATTTATTCATTATTTAGAACAAAAATGAAGAAAAATGAAATGACAGTTAAATTTATGGCACCGTCGACCGAGGCTACTACCCTTACTAGCAGCCGCTCGTTTATTGTCGGTTGGGTAATAAAGCAGTAGACCAGGTGTGTAGTGATCGGTATCTAAATGAATTTTGGACATTATCTCCTTGGTGCCGTCGATTAAAGTTTTAATATAATTTTTTTGTTGAAAAGATTAACAGATATGCTTACCGTTTTTACCTGGACGAAATTTTTATCTAATTTGTAGAAAATTAAACAACAATATTAATAACAAAAAGTTCTTTTGTTTTAAATAACATGTTCGAAATTATGTCCTTCTTGATTAATACACATTTCTAACCGGTGTCTAAATGAATGTTGGACATTATCTCATAGGTGCCCTCGATTGATTTCTTCAAGGGCGGCAATAATACGTTGCTGCATATCTTCTCGCGTTGTTGGTACTGTTTGGTAAACAATTTTTTTCACCATGCCCCACTCGAAGAAATCCATAGGTGTCAAATCCGGTGGTGCGTTCACCAGCAAATCAGACCGTTACGTCCTGCATACTTCCAGCATCTTTCGGGAAATTTTTGGTGGACAGCATTTATCGCATTTCTGGAGTAATGGGCTAGAGCCTCATCCAATTGCATCCACAATGTTTATTAACGGAATGTCTTCTAAGTAATTGTCTAATACATTTTGGATAAAGTTAGCGTACATTTCTCCTGACAAATTTTCTGCAAAAAAAATGAGGCCCTATTAAGTGGTTATTTATAATGTCTCCTCACACGTTCAGTGCCCAAACCTTTTGATTTTCTTCTTGCAGGTTATGCTTATTGACATTTCCGCATGACTTAAAACTTGCTTCATCGGTAAACAATACATTTTGAGAGAAGTTCTCATTTATATGCACTTGTTCTGAAGCCCATACACAGAAACTTTCTCGATGAAAGCAGTCATCGCCGTGCCACTCTTATTGTTAGTGCAGGTCGATATGATATAGGTGCTATCTATGAATAGAGGTCAACACTCTTTGAACCGACGTCTTCGTAACTCACATTGTTACACCTTTGCATTTGTTACAATTTACAAATCAATCTCTTGGCATAAGAATTAAATAATGTTATTCCAAACAAACAACCTCTCTAATCTGTTTTAGGAAATTCCGAAAAAATGTTGTGTAGAAATGACAAACACATCTTTTAATTTTTTTAATAAGAAGGTTTTATTAAATTGATTTAGATACCTTAATATTAAGTTAAAAAAACTATATTTGTAATAAAATAACTTCAACATTAAGCCTCAACCAGCTCAAAATTAAGCTAGACGGTTGCTTTATTACCCAACCGACAATAAACGAGCGGCTACCTGGAGCCTCGGTGTAGTAGTCTCGGTTTACGGTACCATAACTTTTTAATTTAACTGTCATTTCATTTTTCTTAATTTTTGTGGTAAATAATGAATAAATCGTAATTTTTTTGGTATGAATTTACTTTACTGTGACGCCCACATCATATAACATAAGAATCGTTAAAAAATAAAACCATAAATTTCGTCATTTTTAACATTTTTTTTACATATAAAAAATAAATTGTCAAAATCACAGTGTACGAAGTTAGCCTCTAATTTATCTAGCCCCCAATTAGATAGGATTTAGATTATAACAAGAAAACCTTTCAATCGATTTCCACAAAAGTGGAAATGCCCAATTGGAAATCTCTTTCGAATTCCGCTAAAACACTAAAATATTGCCAAAGTACACGAAAATAACGTAAAATGGCCTTTTTTAGATGGTCATCACTCGTAAACGATGAACTCGATTATCAAGATTGAGAAAAGTTATAAAAGGTCTAATTTTCACCTTTTGAATGAAATCGTGGTTGAACAAGCCGAACACGGTGTTGTTCTGAGAGCTGTACAATGTTAACGCGAAACGATTGAGATTTTGTGATTTCGATAGAAAAAACTATGGCGAATCGAATGACATATAGATCTTGACAAACGATTATATCCTTTATGTGTTATGACCACCTAAAAAAGGTAATTTTTGTGTTATTTTCGCATGCTTTCGCAATATTTTGGCGTTTTACTGGAATTCGAAAGAGATTTCGAATCGGGTAATTCGAGTTATACTCGAATTGGGTATTATTTCGGTGTGGATTGATTACGGAGTAAGCTTTCGAATGAGATATTGATCGTTACAATCGGTTGAAAGATTCTCTTGTTATAATGAAAATCCTACCTAATTGGGGCTTATTTATTATACATTTTTCTTAGGGTGATATTCAATTATTGAAAATTGCACCAACTCCTGATGAAGCATACGAAATTTGCACGATACATGCACCTAATTGCCCAGTTTTAACGAACGATGGAAGTATTGTTTCGAACGGTTCTTATAGTTACTCTTCAAGTTCAAGTAGTGGAACTTCTTATTATACAACATCTTACAGTAGTTCATCTAGTTCTTCATCAAGCAATAATTTATTAAATCATGGCAATAATATTGATGCTAAGATCAAGACTTCTTCGAGTAACTCTTTAAATAATTTATCGAATCATGGAAGCAATATTAAAAATATTGAATTTTCTTCAAATGTAGAAACAGAATCTAACCGAGGACTGAATATAATTGCTCAGAATAACAGTAATTTTGACATTGTCAACTCAAAACTGAATCAGGAAATGATTAGAAACAAGAATAATCTGTTTGAACAAAGAAACGAATTTCTTTTAAATGGAAATGTTCAATTAGAGCATCTCAACCAGAAACGAAATTCAACGGAATTTAAAAATTTTAATCAAAATGTAGGATACATAGATAATATGGAACATGATTTAAGTACGAAGGATAAGGATTTACAAGGCGTTGGAAGTAGTTTAATTGGTCCTGATTATTCACAATTTTCTACGGAAAGAGCTGAAGGAACCACAACTGAAATTGATGAAAATATTGATATGACCGAACAACCAGAAGTCACTAATGCATCAGAAAAAACACTAGATCTTCCAGATTTGCCGGAATATGAAAGTTCTCCAACCGATTCAAATAATGGTCCCTACTCTCCAAATTATCCTTACAACCCTAACAGAGGTCCACCTGGTCCGCGTGGTTATCCTGGACCTCCAGGATTACCGGGAAATCCGGGTCCAAAAGGAGATTCGGGAAGGGACGGTTATCCGGGAGTGACAGGAAGTCCTGGACCGCCCGGAAATGTTTTCATGCTTCCAGTAAATAAATGTAAAATTTCCTTTTTGTAAAATATTTTTATTATGAATTCTTAGATGAACGTTCAAGGAAATGATAAAGGTCCAGATAGCCAAACGGAATCCTTAAGACAAATGTTAGCTCAACACATGGTGAGTATCTTGACGAGAAAATCCATCCACAATTTCTTGACTGTTTAAAGTACGTGATATCCTTTTTGAAGATGTCTATGAGGGGAACTGAAGGTCCAATGGGCTTGACTGGACTTCCCGGACCGGAAGGGCCAACAGGCGCAGAAGGAACTAAAGGAGAACCTGGTGAAATTGGCGAACCGGTATGAAAAATTTAATATAGTTAAACATTCTCTTAGCCAGAACAATATTTTAGGGCCCACGAGGTGTAAGAGGTCCGATAGGACATCCGGGACGTGAAGGTAGAAGAGGTCGACCAGGAAGGGATGGAGATAGAGGTCTCTCTGGACCTTCTGGAACAAAAGGCGAACAAGGCATGGTTGGTTTACCAGGTCTTCCTGGCGATAAAGGTGAAAGAGGACATCTTGGCTTACAAGGAGAGAAAGGAATGCCTGGACATGAAGGAATGCAAGGGGAAGAGGGTCCCCCGGGATTGCCAGGAATGCCAGGAGAAATGGTAACAATAAACATAATAACAATTTTTTTGTTTGTAACCTTTAAATATGTTTAGGGACCTAGAGGATTTACAGGACCAAGAGGGCTTCCAGGAATGCCTGGCAGCCCAGGAATTCCAGGGAATGAAGGGCCTATTGGGCCTAAAGGCAGCCAAGGGCCGGTTGGACAACCGGGTGCACCTGGACAAACTGGACCGGCTGGATCTATGGGTTCACCGGGACCACAGGGACATTTAGGGCCCCCAGGAATCATGGTGAATTTTTAATTTACTGCTACAGTCTGATTAAAGTTGATTTACACAAATTGTGCGATTGTTTAAGGTAGCAATATGTATTAGTTAAATAAAGTATATAAACAAGAATCTCGAAAACATAAGTCGTTTGGGAGAAAAATTATTCCTTTCAAATAAGAGTGTTGGTGTTGAATCAAACTTGTATAATTTTAATTCTCAAAAAAAAAAAAATCTTGTGATTTTAAACATCTCACGTGGATCTTGAGTCCGAAAAGAATCATAACTAACCAAAATAATCCGACAGTACAGCAAACAATGCCAACCGAACAATACCGTTTAACTTTTTTTGGTTAAAAAAATGTGCGGTTCTTAAGCAACTTCCTAGTTATTGTATGTATAAAAGCTAAAGCAATTATATTTCAAAAGTTCTGAGCTGTAAATAGTAAAATTAACATTTTAGATGGTGATGATATTATTCAGCTTATTCTTTCTTTTCCTTCAAGGGTCCGCAAGGAAAGCCCGGAATTCCCGGTCTACCAGGATCAGAAGGTTTGCCAGGACATCCGGGAAATCCGGGAATACCCGGTCCAAAGGGAGATCAAGGTATTCAAGGTTCAGTTGGCTCTATCGGATTTCCTGGAGGAAGAGGACCTAAAGGTGATGAAGGAAAAAGAGGACAACAAGGAGATAAGGGTGACAAAGGAGACAAGGGCCCTGAAGGAGAAAAGGGGGAAGCTGGTAGTAAAGGTGATATTGGAGTACAAGGAAGTGTTGGTGCATCAGGTTTAGAAGGGCCAGAGGGACTTAAAGTAATGTAATGTCTTTTGCCGTAAACAAATTTAATATATTAAGATTCTCTCAGGGATACGATGGACCTAGAGGAGAAACAGGGGCAATAGGTCCTTCTGGTGAAAAAGGTAAGATTGGCATTCAGGGATTTCCTGGATATCCAGGAAATCCCGGTGAAAAAGGAGATAAAGGGGCCACCGGAAGAGTAGGGTCACCTGGTGATAAGGGAGAAAGAGTAAGTTATTCAAAATTATTTCTAATCTTTTTCACGGATATTTGTCCAATCTTATCCAGGGTCACCCTGGAATTCCAGGTGAACGCGGTGAAACCGGACCTCGAGGCTTTCGTGGTTCAAGAGGCAGGCGCGGAGGAGAAGGACAGCCAGGTCCTAAAGGAGATACTGGTCAACCTGGACCTCCAGGTCCTCAAGGAGAAGTTGGAGTTCAAGGCCCAGAAGGTCCACGTGGATTCGCGGGGCCCACTGGATCTCCCGGACTGAACGGAAAAGACGGTATAGCCGGACCACCGGGAGAAAGAGGAGCCCCTGGTGACAGCGGTCCGCCAGGATCTCCGGGTGCACCCGGAGTGGTTGGACCTCAAGGACCTACAGGGGAGCCAGGCCCAATTGGGGAACCAGGGACACCAGGAAGTCCGGGAATTCCAGGCGAATCGGGATTACCCGGGGAAGTGGGAAAAGAAGGTAGTCCTGGCCTACCAGGTCCTGCAGGAAAACCAGGATCACCTGGAACGAGTGGATTGCCGGGATTTCCAGGAGAAAGGGGAATGAATGGATTGCCAGTAAGTATATCTATTTCTAACAGTATTTATTTTTTGAAATGGTTGAAAATAAATAGTATCATCGTGGTGCATATGATATTTATTCTAAAGTCGTTGGATGTTTTATTTTTTATTCTTATTTTTATCAGGGCATTCCCGGTTTGAAAGGTGAAAATGGTCCACCAGGGTTAATAGGACCTAGTGGAGACAAGGGACAACAAGGAGAACCTGGTAAAGATGGACCACCAGGTGCCGATGGAAGAAAAGGACCATCCGGGTCTCCAGGATCTGGTGGAGCGAAAGGAGAACGTGGAGAACCTGGACCCGCCGGTGTTATGGGACGCGATGGTATAGCCGGTGCAAGAGGATTACCAGGAGCACCCGGGCCAATTGGACCTCCGGGGGAAGATGGTGATAAAGGTGACATCGGGCCACCTGGAGAGAAAGGATTTAAGGGTTCAAAAGGAGAAAGCGTAAATAAAATAAAAACGATCAAGATTATATTTGTATTTGTCGAATTTTATAGGGCCCAGAAGGGTCATCAGGTCCTCAAGGATTACGAGGTGAACCTGGTCCAGTCGGTCCTATCGGAGAAAGAGGTCCTCCTGGTGAAATTGGACGACAAGGGATTAAAGGAGAAGATGGTCCAATAGGCATCCAGGGAACTGCTGGACCAGCAGGTCCTCAAGGATTACCAGGTCCACCAGGAATTAAAGGAGAAATAGGAGATCTTGGCCAAAAAGGCCCACCTGGTGCTCCGGGATCGCAGGGAGAACAAGGACCTAGAGGAACAAAAGGAGTAGAAGGTTCACCAGGAGCTACTGGACCCGAGGGTTTACAAGGAATAAAAGGAGATAGAGGAGAACCGGGTCCGATGGGAACAATAGGACCCGAAGGAAAACAGGTATACATATTATATGGAATACGAACTTCCAGTACCGGGAAACTATAGTACATTTATTTATATTTATTTCAGGGTGAGCGCGGTCTTCAGGGGCAAAAGGGAGAAGAAGGAAAGCCGGGTCTTCCTGGATCGATCGGGCCCCGCGGTGCTATTGGTCCGGAAGGTGCAAAAGGAGTTGCCGGTCCACCAGGATTTCCAGGCCCTCCTGGCGAACCCGGAGGAGTCGGTGTTAAGGGAGATATTGGTAAAGAAGGTGAAGACGGTAAACCTGGAGAACCTGGCCTTCCTGGAGAGATTGGTTTACCGGGAAAAATGGGTCCAGTTGGTACCCCTGGAAAACCTGGCTCTGAAGGACCCGCAGGAGTACAAGGCAACACTGGGCTACCAGGAGAAAAAGGTGATAAAGGAGCCTCAGGTCCCCCAGGCCCTATGGGACCGGTTGGCGTTCAAGGAATTCCAGGTTCGCAAGGAACAACTGGTCCAAGAGGATCACCAGGCCAAGCTGTAAAGATTATTTTCAAAATTGGAAAAAAGAATTAATTTTATAACATTTTTCAAGGGCGATAATGGTCCACCGGGTACACCGGGAGTTCCCGGATCAGCTGGTCCAATTGGTTCTTCTGGTCCTCGTGGTCAAAAAGGAGATCGCGGAAAACGAGGCCCGAAAGGTCATCGCGGAGAAATGGGCCACCAGGGTTTGAAGGGCGAAGCGGGTGAAAAGGGGGAGAGGGGCGAAAAAGGTCCACAAGGAGTTGAAGGCAAAAAAGGTGACATCGGACCGATTGGCCCACCAGGTCTGAAAGGAAACGATGGCCCTGTTGGGTTATCTGGATTAGAAGGGCCTGCTGGCCCTAAAGGGTCTGAAGGAATCGGTGGATTGAAAGGAGAACCTGGTCCCGTGGGTCCTCCCGGACCGCCCGGACCGGCTGCTGATATGCCTTTGGTACCACCAGAGCTATTGTTTCAATTGCAAAGTGGAAACTACGATAAAGGACCTCCAGCACGAAGAAGAAGAAGTCTAGAAGAGTTGATGTATGACTTGTTTTTTATTTTCCTCTGGGACAAGTCATTATAATTTGTTAGATTTTCTATAAATATTGATTGTATTTTAAAATATTTTCGATTTTTTCAGAACTGAATATGAAGATATTGTTACCACAACAACTGGAAATCCTGGCGATGCAAATGTTGACGACGAAGACGGTTACAATAAAGAGGACGTCAGTTTGAAATTTTTGGATATGTATAGCAGTATTTATTCGATGAGGCAAGATTTGGAGCGAGTTAGGAAACCAGTTGGTACAAGAGATAACCCAGTTAGAACTTGTAGAGATTTGTATTATGGCCATCCGCAATTTCTTGACGGTTGGTATTGGATAGATCCAAACTTAGGAATGATAGACGACGCAATTTATGTGTATTGTAACATGTCATCGGAAGGCGAAAGTTGCGTTTTTCCCGACGTTCATAGCGCCAAGATGCCAAATATTCCCTGGAGAAAAGAGAACAACAATAAAAATGATTGGTATTCGAACTTACGCGGTGGATTTAAAATTACTTATGAAACAGTTGGCTTGGTACAAATGACATTTCTTCGTCTGCTTTCCGAAAATGCATACCAAAACTTCACGTACACGTGTATGAATAGCGCGGCTTGGTTTAATACAAAAACAAGTAAACACGACTTGTCTATAAAATTATTAGGAGAAAACGATCAAGAATTTTCTTATCAAGCGATTAAACCAATCATCGTTTTCGATGGATGTAAATCTAGGAAAAGTAAAAGTGAAACTGTTTTTGAGATACGAACTCCGAAGCTGAACCAATTACCTATTGTCGATTTTTATCCAGTAGATTATGGAAATTCAAATCAAGCGTTTGGATTCAATGTTGGACCAGTATGCTTTAAATAAGAACCATAATTTGTTAAATAATCGTTTAGGTTATATTGAATGTATTGTTATTGCGGCACTATTTATATTCCAAGATTAAGAACAAAGAGGATGTGTATATATAAATTTAGATTAAATGTGTATTTTTGTTTTTGATGTTCGAACTACCAATGTTATCCTTTATATTTAGAAGTTATGAGTCTTTGAAAGAGAAAAATTCGACGCAATAATTTTCTTAAGATTTTATCCTACCAATTATAATTAATACCAGTAAATATTTTTATCCCAAAGTATTAATATCAAAAAAACAAATAAGTATTACGTTTATTTCAAATTAGTTTATTTATTTTTTACGGTACATTCAATACTAGTATCGAAAATAAATTAATTGTAAATACTTATCCTTTTCTACCTCGTCAGAATTAATCTTCTATACATTTCCACACCAATCTGGTACGAGTAATTCAAAGTTTTCATTACATTGAGAGATCTTACTTTGAAATTCGTTAACGTCCGCTTTCATTTCAGTTCGAATTTTCGATAAACAGTTCAAAAAATCGTTTTCGTTCTTTTTACACTTGCAATCGATTAGCTGGTCCATGTATTTACAATAAAGCTCTTTTCTATAATCCCATATTGTGTCTTTTAAATTGTTCGAGAGTAGATTAGGACAGGATGTGTCAAATGTTAACACTTCCAAAGATTCCATGAAATTATAAAAATTCGTTCTGTAGTCATCGGGTTCAGTAAAATGATTACAAGAAAGCACCTACAAAGAATATAAAATTATATGATTATTTCTCGATTTGAATTAACGTAACTTGAAATAAATACTTGCCGATTTGATTGTAAACGTCAAAAGTATCGGTATGGTTGTTATTGCGTTCATTGTATCTATGATACTAAAGCAAATATCGAAGTAATAAACTCTTATCTACCTACCTACTATTTTAACGTTTTTTCAGATAACATTCATTTGAACTGTTTGCGCCATAGGTATGTATCTGAAACAAATAAAAATAATAAGATGCCGGATCTAAGATTAGATAATGAAATAAATAATTTAAGAATTCTTTTTACCTCTTAATATATCACTTTAAGAACCACAAATAGTATCAGTAAATTACAATTTCTCACAGTTACACATCGATAGAATAGCTGTTCAGTGGTTTTTATCAAAGTACTTACTCATATTCTGCATTTCGTATCAATTTACCGTTTTATTACTATTGTTACGTTTCTCGGGAGTTCTATAAATCTGAATAACACTCTTGGTTTATTTATTTAAAATAACTTCAATTTATTTTAATGGGTTAGTTTATGGTATAGTTAATCAATTTCAAAAATACAAATTTTTTCTAGTTGGAAAATGATGGATTAGCCTGAAGTTTTTAATCGTAATTATACTGATCGATGGATCTCAAGGCCGATGGTAATCCGATTTCCTGTTCTGCCAGATCACCAGATTTATATCGTCTAGATATTTTTTGTGGGGTATTCTTATAGATAAAATATACGACTCTGTAAAAGTTACAGAATTTGGAAATGATAAACATTCTTCTATCCAAACAACCTTGCAATTGCAACATTACATGACAATTTCAGGAAAAATAATTTTTTATTGAAAAATAAGAGTTGGAGGCGCCGGGCATCGATCCCGGTACCTCTCGCATGCTAAGCGAGCGCTCTACCATCTGAGCTACGCCCCCCTCGTTAGGCTAAGAAAAAAATGTTCAACTCCAAACCTCTTATGATCTACTTTTAATGTGTAGAAATTTTATTGAATGTATTAAGCAACCAATCATATACATTTCAATAGTAGTTGACATAAATTTGGAAATTGAACACTTATTATTTGATTTAAAAGAGGGGGCGTAACTCATTGTCAGACGGTAGAGCGCTCGCTTAGCATAGGGGAGGTACAGTTCTGTTCAGATATAATGCGAAAAGAGCCGCTTCTAGAGGCATAAAATTGTACTAGAAACGACCTACGTTCACGAGGCATTCAATCCAGGTTTTACCCAAGGTTTATATATAAGAGGTTGTCTAGATTCGTACGCAACCATACTGCGCATTACGTCACATGTGGAAAATAATACCGCCAAGTAATTCAAATTAAACAAATGCATGGAGTACCACATGGCCATAAGGTTGCGTGCGCAATCCGTGATCGCTTACGTCACGAAACACTTCTGCTCTTGCCCCTCGCCCACAAACTAAATCAAAGTATTGCAGCATAGGTACTTAGACAACCTTTAATATATAAACCTTGGGTTTTACCTGCTCTGTAGTGTTGTAAAAGTTCCGAACAGGCTAGCGGGGTGATGTGATTTATGGCCAAGATGACTGAATCACAAAGAAAAATTAAGAATAATTTGTAACGGTTTTATTTGAAATAATTTGAAAACGCGAAATTTTTTTGGAAAAAAGTTATTTATTTTGAATATGTTTGAAGGGTTACATATAGATGAGGGGTTAAATTTTCTTAAATTTTCGGATCGTGGTTTTTTGGCGGAACGGGTTTGACGCGGCGGGCCGTTCTTGAAAACGTAGAGATTTTGGAGAAGTGGTTGAAGCGTTGAGCTAGCGACGAGGGTTTAAATTTTATTAACATCCGCGTGCGTTTTTTTTACGTTGAGACCAAATTAAGGGTTTAGTAGTTCCCTCCAAAGTTATTTTGGGATTGTGGGTCTCATAGTGAATTTTTTCGACGATTAATTCTTGTTGGTTTTTGCAAATTTTCGTCGGTACTCCTTTGGGAGGATTTTTCAAACCACGTTTTGCGTTTTTACGCGTGCTTCTAATAAATTTTCGTGCGTGAAGTGAGACGCTTCTTGTATTGGATATTTATTTTTGGTCTAAATTTTTCCCGTCTACGACCTGTCGATTTCGGTCCGTCAATCCAACAGGCGAACATCGTTAAAAACCGTCGTTCCCAAGATCGTATGACTTTTCCGGATAAAGAATTATCATCGGGAAAGTAAAATTTTCATCGTGTGCAGAATTTTCAAGGTCAGATTACTTAATTTTCTCGTTCTCGGAACATTCGTCGAGTCGTCTTTTTCGTAACCTGCTAACAAACAAAAAAAGCGTGTTTTTCAAATATATGAACGCTATATATATTTTGAGAAAAATATTGAATTAAATATATAATTTAATATAATAAAGTTTGAGATAAAAAAAAAAAAGAAAAAGGAAAAAATATAAAAAAAAAAATAGAACAGTTTATTGTTACTTACCTAGAATTATGTTTGATATTTTTATACTTACCTGAAATAATTGGTTATTTATTATTATTTGGTTTAGTTTATTTTTAGTTCATTTTCTTACTTTTTTTGATTTTGTAAGATCACAGTTAACTCGAGTAAACTTTGGTTAAATTAAATTTTTGTTTCTTATAGTTTTTGAATGATTATTATTATAATTGATTTATTTATTTTTTTTTACTTGCACGAAAAGTTACTTTATTTTTTTTTTAAATTCTTTTAATAGAGTATTATTATTATTATTGTCCGTTTTGTTTTCTTTGATTTTCGCCATTCACTTTCACTTCAGAGTGGGTCCTGTTGTGATTGGCATTGAGACAAGGAATACTATCGTAGATCCACTGGCGCCCTATAAAAAAAAAGAAATCCACCCCTTCTCTACTGAGATTGCCGGCACCTTGTTTTTCGTGGCGTTTTGTTTTGAGTTTTTGATTATTAATTTTTTTTTGTACGCTACAATAAGTACGAAGGCTTTCACGGCCGGTGTGAATTAAACTAAAATTAGAACTAACACTAGAAACTTTCGGGTTTTGCCGTGCGTCTTTTAATAAAAGGTTTGACGTGTCACTTCGAACCAGTTTCTGAAGAAGGTTGCAACATGGCATCCGAAACGTCAAACCTTTTATTAAAAGACGCACGGCAAAACCCGAAAGTTTCTAGTGTTAGTTCTAGTTTTAGTTCTAATTTTAGTTTAAAAATTAAGAAAATAAATAAGTATAAGCAATCACAATAAGTAGTTGCGAATCGGAAAGTTGGTATATTTATTGAACTGTTTTTCCATCAAAACCCATAGATTTTCGATTGGGTTAAGATCAGGTGACCGCGCTGGCCAGGGTATTCGCCTAATCTCATTATGATCGTCAAACCAATCATGAATAATTCTTGAAGAATGGACGGGTGAATTGTCTTGGACAATCGTGATGATCCCTTCTGGATACAAGGTTTTTACTGATGATATCAAAAATATATCGAATTAAATCCTTGATGATTGTGGACGTTGTAAATGGATTGGCGGTGACGTATTCCCCTTCGTTGAGCATTATTAAGAATAAGTCTTAGGCCTGATCTAGATGTTATAAGGCCAACTTTCCCATTTTCTTCAAATCTTACTGATAAACCTACACGTTCGGCAATTTCCCGTTTATCTATTCCTTCTTGATGAAGTACAATAATTGCTCGCCTCGTAGTCAAACCTGACTCTCGTTGACCAGGAACACGACGCATTGTATTTAGGAAAACGGACAAATTGCATTCACGTAATTTTGATATTGAATAATTATATTTAAAATTTGAAAGAGAGTTTCATAAAGCTTTATTTATAAGTTTTATATTATATTAATTATATTACTGAGATTTTTATCTGACGTTTTATTTATAGAAATACACTAAAATCATTTATTAGAGGAACATATAAGAAATCGTGTATTTGTTGTTCTTAAAAATATCAAAAAAGATTTGAAATAAAATAAAATCAACACATTTAAAAAAAGGGTGATCCATTCTTCGGCCCACATCAAACTGGGACGATTTTACCTGGGTTAAGGAAGAGGGTAACTTCCTTTAGTCTCAGAAATCGAATTGAATAGAAACAAAAGATGTCTCCGTCTTCTTCCAGTACCAAGGTCATGTCGGAGCTAACAGCGGACGATTCGCATTAAATCTGAACAGAGCTGTACAGGAATCGATGCCCGGCTCTTCCAAAAGCTATTTTTGTATTAGTTTATTTTTTGTGTTCTTTTAATTCTAATTTAAGATATGTGAATCCTAGTGTACAACAATCTAGTGTTTCATTTAAAGTTTTGATACCTATTTATTACATAAAAAAGCTACCGAGATTCTTTTTGAGCACGAGAAGATTTCTTGTGTGTTTAGTGCCCGATATCGTTGTTTACAGATAGGTATAGTTTACCCATTGATAATTTTTTTATATTAATTATTTGTAGCGTAGAGTGTTGTACACTTTCTCGTATTTTTATATAATTCTGAAAAATTAATAAAATTTACACAATTTGCCACTATAATTTGAGTTTCAACACACAACGATACAAATACGATTTAGATTATAATCATGTTAATTTGGCTATTTTTGATTCTATTATCATTGTGAATTTATTAAATAAAGGGATGGAAAACGATGAAAACTAATTTTTATTTAGATCAGTGCTAATCTAAATACTGATAAACACTGATCTAAATAAAAATTAGTTTTCATCGTTTTCCATCTCTTTATTTAATATAATCATGTTGTTTGTTATTTAAGTAACTATGTATAACAAAATATCAAAAGCACTTGCCGTCCTCCAACATTACTTTCCACTCTGCTCTACCGCCACTACGCTAATGAGTATTGAACTAGTCGAGCATAGAACAACCTCGTGTTAAATCAACTATTTAGCGTGTTTGTGAAAAATGAAGTGGTCTGAGACAGAAACTATTAAATTAGTAGAATAATAATAAATAATAAAAGTAATAAATTGTACGGTGAATATGAATGCCTACGGTATATAACAAGCATTGATTATAAAAATGAAACTCAACGAACATCTGCGTATAAACCCCAAAACATGTAATAATAGCTGAAATGGGCAACGAGCACTTTGGTGTTGCTGAATTAAAACAAAAAATAAAGACCCTTAGATACACATATAACCAAGAACGTTTGAAAATCAGCAAATCAAATAAATCTGGAGCTGGTGTAACCGCCAAATCATAAAGTTAAAGCCCATCAAATCGATCACAACCGACAGATAAAAATATTCCAACGGATAAAAGAAACAACAGCTACGTGAGAACTTTACAGAACTTCGTAACGCCATGGAATACTATGCTTTTGGTACATTTATAAACTTACCACTGCAACAGTCCATCATGGCACATAATGAAATATCGTTTACACTCGTGTTCAGAAATGGCTTCTTCACCTCATTTTTCAACGTCATCTTTAGTATAGTCTATCAAGTCCTCAAGTTATCAAATCAGTCACTTCCTCATAAACATTAGGACACATCAGACACTTTCGTTCTACGCAGATCGTCCAGTTTCTGTACAGTCGCGCTACTCAAATGACCCCCAAGGTGTCTTTCAAGAACATATTGAGAAGTTGCCTCAAGATATTTTAACGCAAGCTTGGAGCTATGCGTAATTGCTTTATTTATATTAACACTATCATAGGTTTTGTTTGTTAATATTATGGCAATAATAAATAATACCTTAATGACATTATCGAGGTTTTCGTATATCGCATCGCATATTTCTAGAAAAAAATTTGCAATTGCTGTTTTAGATACTCTGAACAAATACCGATATCGTTAACTTTTATTTGGTACATTAATTACAAAATAAAATCGACGATTTAGGGTGTGGGAATGTTCATTTGTAAGTTGATGATTCGTTTTGTTTTTATAATTTATTTTGTTTTGCAATATTAATTAACGATAGAATATTATATGTATGAATAACACAAAACAAAGTTCTTTATTATTTGTATCGTGGATGAATATGCATAAATAAATAGGTATATCAAAACCATAACCGTATGCAACCACAATCGCAGAATCTATTTTCTTTGTTGTTGATAGAGAGAAGCAACTCCATTAAACATCCGTTGTTAGTATGTACTGAACTCCTCTCTGTTTGTTATACGCGGTTATACGTTAGTTAGTGCTCGCGAGTTCACCTTCGGCAGCAAAAATAAGTGGTCTCTCACTAGTTGTGACCTTCATACATTAAGATCGGTCAATAATTGGGATCGTAATTAAAAATGTCTTTGGATCTTTCGGCGATTCTTTCCATTTGGAACTTTGTTTTGGGGTTTATTGTCTTCGTGTATCTTTTTTATAAGTACAAATTTACTCAATGGAACTCGAAAAACATCCCTACTTTATCGCCTTCAATTCCTTTTGGTAACATGCAAAATCCACTAACGCGTAAAACAACTACATACGAACATTTAAAATCGATCTACGATCACATGAAAGCTCGCGGTGCCAAACATTTGGGAATTTACAGTTACTTTAATATGGTTTATGTCCCGATCGATTTAGAAATAGTAAAAAAAGTTATGACAACTGACTTTCAGCATTTTGTCGATCGCGGAGTTTATTTTAATGAAAAAGATGACCCGTTAAGCGCGCATTTAGTAAATATTGAAGGCGATAAATGGAGGAAATTACGGACAAAGTTGACGCCCACTTTTACCAGCGGAAAAATGAGAAATATGTTTATAATTTTAACGAAATGCGGCGAACAAATGTTAGACGCTCTAAACGAAACGAAAGAAGTTGATATCAAAGAAATTTTAGGCTGTTTTACGACGGACGTGATAGGAAATTGCGCATTTGGCCTAGAATTAAACTCTTTTGCAGAGGATAAAAACGATTTTCGAGATTTCGGTAAGAAAGCGATGAAGCCAAAGTTGATGGGAATATTAAAATTAATTTTTTGTATGACTTTTCAAAAATTATCGTTGGCTTTACGATTGCGGATCTTAGATAAAGAAGTCTCGAATTTTTTTATGAATGCCGTTGCAAGTACGATTACGTACAGAGAAGAGAATAACATTCAAAGAAACGATTTTCTACAACTGTTAATTGAATTAAAAAATACCAACGACATTAACAACCGGTTAACGTTACAAGAGATTTCCGCTCAATGTTTTGTCTTTTTTCTTGCCGGGTTTGAAACGAGTTCAACGGCGATGACATTCTGCCTTTACGAATTGGCCAAGAATCAAGATGTTCAGAACAAAGTTCGAGATGAAATTGTTAAAACTATTCAAAATCACAATGGTATTTTAACTTACGATGGCTTGTCTGAAATGAAGTATTTACAGCAGGTTTTAAATGAAACTTTAAGAATGTATCCTTCCGTTCCGTTCGTTGCAAGAAAATGTACGATGGATTATTCGTTACCTATATCTGGAAAATTGATGAAAAAAGGTACAAGAGTTTTCATTCCAATTTACGCCATCCATCATGACGAAGATATCTACGAAAATCCGCAGGTTTTTGACCCGGAAAGATTTTCCGACGAGAATAAAACCAAAAGACATCCGTACTCATTTTTACCGTTCGGGGAAGGACCCAGAAACTGTATAGGTCATTAAAAAATAACTTACATATTTAAAAATTGTTATAACAAAAGGATTTTATTAACTTTTAGGTTCACGATTTGGATTGATGCAAAGCAAAGTCGGATTGGTATTACTTCTGCAAAAGTATCGATTTGAGCCCAGTTCCAAAACTGAGAAAATTACGTTTAATCCCAATGGAATTTTAATGGATACTAAGGAAACCATCTGGTTAACAATTAAGAAATTATAGCTTATTGTATGCTAGATGTTTGTTTTGGTATTTATTGTGTTGTTATTATTGGTAAAAACATAAATTAAATCTCAATTAAAGAAAAAGAACTCCTTTTTTCAAAGTTTAGCTTTTCCTTTTTTAAGATAGGTATTTCCAAAAATATATTGATTAATTGTAAAATTTTATCAATTGAAAATAATGGTTGCTAATCGCGTAATGGTTGGTTAAAAAGGGACGTATGTGACATTAGAAAAAACAAAGTTCATAAACGGATGGCATACGTCACCGAAAAGTTTTCGGTTAAATGCTGTACTAAACAAGATCTTACACGAAAGTAAGTTCGAAAGTGTTGTCGAAAAAGTTTTGTATTATTTCAATAAATCTCTATTTGAAACATTCTTCGCTACGAATCACAACTTTTATTGTTTCTTCTTGCATAAACGAAATTATTAAGTATTAATTTTGTCTTTTAATTATGATCAGAGCGATGTGCGCCTCTAATAAAACAAGTTTGTGTTTATACAACCAAATTGACGTACGAACGAATTCTACAATTAATTGCTCTTTGTAGTTTTGCTGTTTCGATCATATCAAGTAAGGCATTTAAATTAAGACGATGTAATAAGTCTTAAATCATCAATTTTATCCAAGTATTTTTCAGATAAAACTTTCATCGTATGAAGGGGAAAAGTATTCTGATGGTCTTCATTGTATTTTAGAAAAGCCATGCCATTAAAGTTTTACACGTTTTCAAAATGGCTGAAAACCGATCGAAAATAATTTAATTCTTTTGTTTATGCTTGAAATGCCCGTTCTGCAAAGGTTTTGGGATCAGAATTTTACGACTTATTAAAAATTATCAATTTGGCCAGACAAGAAATATCATAGTCAATCGTTATTCGGGAGTAGTTTTTCCCCCACATGATCCCCAAATGACGTATATTTTTCTTTGCATACTATGTCTTTTACTGCTAGCTATTCGCTTAGCAATTTTATCGAGAACTTGATCTGCTTTAGTTAAGTTTTTTTTAACAGAGTCGTCTGATAATCGTCTTCATTGAACTTATTGAGTCATCATTTTTACTTACTTGAAATTTAAAAAAATAATTTATTGTAAAACAAGTATTGCTTTTTTTTAATTGCAATTAATAATATGTCATCTATTTAGACTCCAAAGACCCAAGAAAAATGGAAGAATTACATAGTTGGGTACAAGAGTTTGAAAGCCAGTGGAATTTTCCTGTTACTGTGTCAGTGTGATTGACGAAAAACATATCATAATTATTCCATTTCACGGAAATGGATTTTTCTTCTGGAATTATATCCGTTTTGCAATTGCAATTAACTTACAATTGTATAGGATAGCAATAGTTGTTCTAACTTGTTGTGTATTCATAATTTTTGCAAAGAAAATTATTTATATTCATTTTATTTATCAGAAGATGAACCATTACAACTTAAATAAAATTAAGGTGTAATTCAAGCTCTCAAGCCAAATTAGTAAGGGAAATGTAAGTACGTACAACACTTCAACGGCTAAGGGTACGTTTATGTTGGAGCTGCGATAAATGATGAGAGCAGCGCAAAACTCATTTCTATGAATTAGTACCTATGTATACAGGGTGTCCGGTATCTTCCGCATCAGAGCATTATACGGCTGTAGGATACATTATTCTGAAGCGATCTTTCTAATAAATTTTTTTCGAAATGTTTATAATAACCGCACGGGAACTGTTTAAAGTCATCCGTTATTGTCCAATAGCGGACGACTTTGATTCACCGAAAAATTTTATTTCTCTTCCCGTGTCGAATCTATTGGTAAGTACACGTGAGAAACGTGTTTCGATCGGCGCGGCGCGGCGGTCCGGCCGAGGGTTGGGCCGATTACCTGAATCTGATTTACGATTTGCCATTGGACGTCGAAAAACAGTTCCCGTGCGGTTATTATAAACATTTCGAAAAAAAATTTATTAGAAAGATCGCTTCAGAATAATGTATCCTACAACCGTATAATGCTCTGATGCGGAAGATACCGGACCTTCTGTATAGCGACGTTTGTCACAATGCGTCACCCCAATATAAACACTTACATATAAAATAATGACATCATTTGCTTTGCTTCGCTAGTATCGTCGCTCTTATCATTTATCGCAGCTCCAACATAAACGTACCCTAAGACTCAGCCCGCTGGTAAAATGAACGAGTTGGTTTACAGGTGCTTACCCAATTAAGGGCCGGTTGTACAATATAGCGATAAACTTCCCGACAGCGTTATCTGGCGGATAAGTTAGTTTGTGCTGTATTACAATGTACGGATATTTTTGTCGGTGAGATTATCGGCAGGATAACTTATCGGGTACTCAGTGGTGCCGATAAGACACTTATCCGGCAGATATTTATGGTTACCAAGGTTTTTATATACAAACTTTGTATGATTACTGCATAGGTTAACCTCTAACATTAAACGTTAACCTTATATGTACGATGTGTCAGTGAAAATTTTTTTAAACAATTTATATTGTCAAAATCATAATTCAAACTTCAAAGAAAGACGTTGGCGTTACCATTCTACGACATAAATCACTAGATATGGGGAAAAACTATTACCAACCGACTCTTATTTCGCCGATAGCAATCCTACCGACAAAAGCAGTTTGTACAACAGCGAATATCTTTATCCTCCTGATAAGTTTATCGGGCGGATAGATATCAGGTAGATTTATCGGTATATTGTACAACCGGCCCTAAGTCTTCTTTAAGATTGTAACAAAAGTTAAAAGTAGCAAATTTAAACAATTCTTCTTGTAATGAAATTAAATAAAACATGTTTATTTAAACAATTAATTTACATCATAAGTTTTAATAGCATCATAAATTCCTTGTTTACTGGCAGGAAAGAAATCTAACAAATATTCCCATCGATCCAATTGCAATCGAATAACAATACTATACTTTAAACAACGATACGAATGCTCGTGCGCCGTTCTTCTAAACAATCCCTGTTTAATACCGATGCTATCGCCCGATTTTAAAACGTCTAATATGTCCCTAGCCAAATTATCTTGACCTATAACGGCAATTTTTCCACCAAAAATGAAATACATTGATTCGTCGATGGATCCTTTAAACTGAACGTAATCGTCGGAAAAGAAATAGAGTACTTCGGCTCTTTGAACGATTTGTCTCAAACAATCCGAATGGCAATTACTAAACACCGGATGGTTATAAATTAAATGACCAAAGGCGCTGTTCATTACCGCTTCGCGCAAGTAAATCGGGGCTTCTTTCAACAACTTAGGATATACTTCGCCCGACGTGGTCATCCAAATCAATTGAACGTATTTATTTACGCGAGTTATGAGAGAAATTGAAACGTCTTCTCGATCCATAAAGAAAAATAAACGATCCAAACGCCGTTGAAAAACCTTTTTCGGTATCGAAAGATCGTCATAAAGAGAGAATATTTGACCGTAAACCATGGCGTTCAAAAGGGCACCAATTATGAACGAACACATGAAGAATATTATGAGAGGTGCTGCATGGGGATAAAATTGGTTTGTTGCCGAAACCGTTAAAATGTGAGTAGCTAAGAAAATTCTCGAAGAAAACTGCACAAGTTTTTCCATCGAATCAAAGTCTTTCATTTCGTTACATCTTGGAATAGGAGGATTTAAATTTACGCTGTATCTACATGCGATCACCGTCAAAATTGTGGCGTAAGCAACGATGAAGAGCGTCGTCCAGCAAATTATCGCCGATATTTTAAAAACCACAAATTTTACGTTAACTTTATCGACGTTCGAAGCAAAATAATCGGCAATGTGAATCAATCGAAACGCTCGATTTATTCTAGAAAAAAAGTAAATATCGTCTAGTAATGAAGACCGCATCTTTACGGACATAATGATAACATCAAAGGGTAAAATGCTCAAAATACACAACCACGTTTTTAATTTGTATCCTTTAATTCTTTTCTTAATTTGCATTAAATCGGTTATTAAGTAGCCTTTCGTGTCTTCAAAAGCTAAGCGATCTAAGGTTAAGAAATAAATAATGTATAAGATATCACTTGCATAAAGCAGAATAATAATTTGAATAGACCAATCGTTGCTTGCCATGTGATACAAATCGATTAAAATTGCTATGTAACATGTGTATGAAATAACGAGAAAGGTCCAAATCTTAAATTTCACCCCCCTCGGGTTGTAGGCTTCGCATAAATCGATTCCTTCGCTTCTTTTTGAGATATCCTCGTGGGTTAAATACTCAGCTATTTGAATTTCCTGTTGTCTTGAGGGGATATAGGTGAAGTAAATCGATCTTAAAGTTTGATATTCGGTGAGAATTTCGGGAAATACTTTCAATAATTTATAAAAATTTAAAGATTTTATGGTGAATACTTCGATGTGACTCATCGCGATTATACTGATTTGAATCCGAACGAATTTTTGCCGTTCCAAATTTCCAAACATCGCTCCTTCCATAATCTTTGTTAATCGAGTTCCGTCCGGCGATAAAATATCCGCGACTCCACTGTAAATTATATAGGTGGTATCTTCGACATCGTTTATCGTGGATAAATAACCGCCTTTCGGAACTATTTTGTAAGTTAAATTATCCAAAAGATTTCGATAGAATATATCGGATTTATTTGCGAAAGCCGAACAATGCACTAAACGTTCTCCGTAAATTTCGAAAAAGAAATCTCTCCTTAACGGAGTCGAAAATGGTCCTAACACGTTATGAATCGTTCTTCCCTTCGTTATTTTCCAACTCACCTCGAAACTATCAACGACGATTTTCATTAATCGTTTCGATACGTTCATCGATTTCATAAAGTGATTCAAACTATTCATTCCGGCTTGTTGCGATGTTAAGAAAGTTTTGTGTACGGAATATATGCAGAAAGTTTTAGCAACGATAAAAGTAATAATCGCTTGACCGAGAAAACTCAAAATCGATACTGAAATTCGAACGTTTGCCGATGCAATCAAGTAACCCCTAAAGCCGTAACACATCAAAAACGACGCCGCCAAATACATCCCGTAAAGGTGCGCTTTAAACTTCGAAATCGGTTTGGCAAAATTGGAGGCGATCAAAAAGCTGCGATCC